AACAGCTTTACCAGGTTTCTGTAGTTTTCCTTTATACTGAATGATGCATTGAGTTTATTTTACTCAAATGTGAACATAATTTCCACATACACTAGTATGCAAAAGTTTAGAATCACTGTTTTTAATATTGTGCAACAACTTTTGGTACAGAACAATTTTAATATGATTCTACTATGATGCTTATCATTCTACAACATGATAGATTTGAACTAATTTGTACTAATCTGTAAAAAAAAGTTGTTTGATGTTTCTGGAATGACGAACAGAGCTGTAGATGATTTCATACTGATTAAGAAAGCTGTAAAACACTGAAAAGTTCTAACAAAATTAATATGTAGAATACCTTATGTTTGAAAAGTAGTGGTCAACATTTAAGGCAGATAATTTGCCAAGAAAATACTAGAAACAAACAATTACTGAGTCTTGCCAAGGGATTCTTGTTGCATTAGTGTAGTGAGCTTGCCCTGACAGGTAACAGAACCCCAGCTGGCCATATTGAGGTCAGCTATGTTGAATGAAGCATTTTAATACCTTCTAGTCTCCAGCTTACAGTATTTAAGTTTAGACTGTATAAGCCATTAAATAATATAATATAATATAATATAATAGAATATATTAGCCGCACTATTTTTCTTTTTTTTTCTTTTTTTTTCCCCCACTTTTCTTCCTAGTTTAGTCGGAAGGCGAGTACAACTATGCTTCCTTTGGATTCCTGGACACGGACAGCTGTAGCATCACCGGGCATCAAACTCATGATCTTCTGATGACAGGGCCAGCGCTTGGTTGCGCCACGCGGTTGCCCCCGCACTATTTTTCTAATTTAAATGAGAAGTAGCATTGCACCATCTGGAAAAACACACTAAAATATGATGTGTGTCACTCTATAAAATCTGAAATAATAATTTGAAAGTCGGAGCCTTCGAGTCAGATTTCGGTGGGGTTTTTCGGACCGTCATACGACTTTACATATCAACATCACACACAGGCTCAAAAAGAAGACGTGGCTTGATGTTTAAGATATGTCCTGCATCCACTTTTTCTTTGAGTTTTCTTTGAATACTCTTTCAGTGCGTTTGCAATTCTCAGGTTCATCCACTCTAGAAGGGGTCTTAAGCACAATTTTTGCCTTTCAGTTTACTTACTTTTGGCAATAAGTATGTTGATGTAATACATTTTATTAATGTGGGAATGATGTATATATGTGAAGCAAGTCAATTTCTGGCAGCCATTTTTTTCCAGTGGGTGTAGAGAAACCACACTATAGGGCCTGCTCTCAAAGGCTCAATATCTCTGACCAAGTGGGAAAACCACAGAGCAGCAACTAAGGGCCGCGAAACTAGACACCAGTCCAATAAAAACAGGAGTTTTGTGTAGTTGCATCATTGCTATGCATGTAAACGCACTGACTGACATATACGCATCGTGCAGACGGAGATGATGCCGCCTTCACGTCCTGTGGGAGAACTCAGGAGGATAGGAGCATTTCTCATCAGCTCAAAATGTGCCAAATTCAGAGGGACGTGTGCTTTCTGTTACAGTTCTGAATAATCTATCATCTGCTTATTTTGGGAGTGCAGGCACTTCTCCTGATACATTTGGGTTGACTTAAGTAAATTCATTCATTCACGTTCACTTGTGTAACACCTCCAGTTTCTCCCACCCGAGAGCGCTTTGGACTTGTTGGTAAATGCAAGATGGCTGTCAGTAAACTTGAGATGGCTGCTGGCAGCAAACTTATTGCACTCATTCTCATCATTATTTGAAACTTAATCCAAGACTAATGTATTGCTCATGCTTCCTGTTGACTTGGAAGAGTAAGGGAGACAATAATATTACATTTCAAATGACATTATACATTGTTTCATGACACATAGGAGCAAAAGATTACATCATGTAATGTTTTTTCCTTACTTTTTTAATTATGGAAATAGTTGGTACAGCGGCTACATGAGCAGCACTGTTCACATGCTCACCTGTGTCCTTTTTCTGTCGAGAGGGTTAATAGCTAAATTCAACTGAACTGAAGCACCCCTGCCATCACAAAAGTGCCGTCCTTCATAACTTTTTCCTGATTTAGCACAATGATATGAACAATAAGCCTGGTAACCACTAGGACTACACTAGGGACCATTATTGTTTATTGTAAGAAAACAACAGAAATGGATGCCAGAAGCGGTTCTTGTCATAGTTTGTTCAGTCTGCTGCTGAGATCATATCACAGTATGGCATATTGCCTCACCTGTTTGTATTGGTATTGTATCTCACCAATGCTTCATGTTAATTTCTGACGATGTGTACAACCTACACTCCAAACAAACGTGGGTTATATGAGGCAGCCATCTTGTACAGACATACATATGTTAAAATCAAGAATAATGCAGCCCTTAGTAGTTGCTGCTCTGTGTTTTTCTCACTTTAAATTTCAACAGCATATAAAGCTTAAATACGAAACTGAAGTCTGCTTAAATAGCTTAAAACATGCTACTAATTCTTGTTCCATGGGTGCTGCCATGTTGAAGTGACGCCACAGAATTGTAACTTGAAGAGAAATGAAGCTGTTAAGAAGAGCTAACTTTCTGAGTGGGAATCACAAGTCAGAGGTTTAAAAGCATTTTTCCTTTATAAGTCAGAAATTTCTGACTTTCTGACTCTTTCTAATGCAGCGTTAGCATTAGCCTAGACACCTAGACAGCATTAGGCCACACATTTTCTCCTTTGCCCATAAGATTTTCCCCCTAGGTACTCTGAGAATGTTATCCAAGGAGTTGGGGTTTTAAACTTATTAACGTGCGTAGTATAAATGTAAGATTTCTAAAGGGAACATCTGTCCATACTATGTAAAATATAGCAAACTTGTTTTTTCAGCAAACTGACCTTCTAAAAGCTGTGAAGAAAATGCAGAGCCAGACTGTTAACTAAATTTGTTATTTAACCAAAAATAAAATTATTAAACTGGAGTGGAGCTAAACTATAATTGTAGTAGAAAATTACCCATGAATGAAAGAACATTATGCAGAAGGTGGGCTACAACCTCCCCTAATGACTAACACTCATTGAGCAGTTTGTCATCAGTCACAATTTGTCACAGAATCAGTTTAATCAGTGGAGTATCAGATGACCATATGGAAGAGTACATCAAACAACCAGATCAAAATCACTGGGAAACAACATCACTTTAGGGGGGAGGCCACATTTGCATACAGGCTGATGGATCACTGTTATAGATTTTACAAGACCAACCTGAATGTCTCCATTCTAATCACCACATTATTCATCGTAATGCATGCTGTAACAATGGATGTACACTGAAATTACAAAATAAGATGATCAGTCTAAATTGTCATGGAAAGTGGTCAGACCCGGACCCCAGCTATGTCCATGGGTACGGCTTAGTTTAGTCTAAATTGAAAGACATATATATGTATATATGACATAAAGACATATATATATATATATATATATATACACAACCATACATATATACATATATATGATATATATATATATGTGTATGGTTGTATACATATACATATATGCATGTGTGTATATATCCATTAGCTTTAGTTCAGTCAAAACTAAGATTATTAACTATAAGGTTATTATTTATAGAAATCCACACAACGGCTGGCAAGTCAGAAATTTAACTGGACAGTGACTTGGCTTTCCCCATGTGGATAGTCTGCTGAAGTGCACTTTTCACTTGTTTCTTTTGAGTTAGCCTAAATAAATACATGTGTAATATGTTATCATGGAGCATTAATAATACATGTCCTTTTGCTTGCTTGCCTTAAGTTCTACTAGTGCATTCAGCCATAACCCCATGGAAGCCACCTGTTTCCAGGAATGAGGTCACCAAGTCTGGCTTCTGGGAAAGCAGCAATTTTGCACTAGCTGAAGTGATCTATGTGTAAAGTGATGAAGTGCTTGTGACCCTCTGTCTAGAAGGGTCACCCTTTAATACATTACCACAATCTTCTTTCATCCTCCAGCACATATTGTCTGTTGGCGATTCCTAGCTTTTCTCAAACGTATAGATCTCCTCATTGGGACGTCAGCACTCATCTACACTTGGACCTTTCAGGTGTTTAAATTACCGCTGTGGGGAAAAAGAATTTCAACATATGCTATAAGTAGTAGTTTGGAAAAGAAAGCTGTCAAATCATTATTTAGTTTTTTATATCCCTGTTCTTCATATTAAGGACCATACTTGAGTGCTGCATAATAAACCTAAAGTATTAGCAAGGTAGTTGTTTTAATATCAACAAAACCTTTATAATTCTCCTTACTTAATTGGAAACTTAACACTAAATTCAGTTTTCAAAGGAAGTCAACTTGTCCCCAACTTTTGACGAGAAAAGGCAGTGTACCATTCTTGGCATGTGTGTGGGTTTGCTGCCCGAATCCTCCAATTTCATAGCAAACCATCATGTTCTTGTATTTCAGGGTGAAGAAATGCTGCAAACCTCTCTCTCTTTCTCTCTCTGTTTCTCACTCTCTCTCTCCCTACCTCTAACATCAGGGGTCCATCCTTTCCAGCGGCTGCCTCCTCAAACTGTTCTCTGCACACCAGCAACACTTTATTTATTTCAGTTTGTGTTTGCCATCTGTCAATGAAACCTTTCTTCAGCCTCAATCTCTCTCCTTCTCTTTACCTGCTGAAATTAGTGGACCAAGTGTCACTTTTGGAATCCAGCTGTTTCCCAGCTGGCATTACAGTCAATTTTTTCTCTCTCTAGCAATAAACAAATCTGAGAAAATGTGGTTAGAATGCATCCTTGGGAGAAAAGAAAATCAGTGTAAATCAGTGAATATAGTCAGTAAAGATCATTTCATTGAGCATACAATCCCCTTATGGCTTTGCCACTTATTATTCTGCCAGCACACAGATATTTGTTGTTGTTCTCAAGGCCGAGGAGGGACGATAGTAATACAGTAGTAATTTCAGTAGGTGTTTCTCATATTTTGTTTTGTGTTTTGTCCATTTGTGTTTGTGTGTTCAGGCTGCATTTCCTGGTGTTCCACACAGAAGAGGTGCATGATGTGTTGCGGATCTGGGACGGGCCTCAGGATGGTGGGGTGCTGCTGAGGGAACTGAGTGGCTCCAGTCTGCCCCCGGACCTCCACAGCACCTTCAACTCCATCAGCCTGCAATTCACCACCGACTTCTTCACTAGCAAGCAGGGCTTTGCTCTGCAGTTCTCAGGTGAGATTGCATGTGTAAATGTATTTATACATGTTTTGTATGTTGCATATCATTGCTGTTGCAACAAACCTCTTATCTTTAAAACGGAAGAAACATTTCTGTATTGGAGGTTAATGCAACATTTTTAACTAATTTTGGACCATTTCTATTGGTCCATTCATTCAAGTGAAAAACAACACGTTTTTGCACAGTAGTGACAATATAGTGTTTTTTTTTTTATATATTTGTGCAAACCCAGTTACAAAAATGTTGTGACAGTAAAAATCTAAAAACAGAATGCAGTGATTATTAAGTTCTGTTTTATTAAATTAAAAATGGTACATAAACACAATATTTAATATTTTTCCTAAGAACATTGCTTTTGTAAATATATGCGCATTCCAAATTGGATGCATGTAACACATTCCAAAAAAGTTGGGACAGGAACATGTTTACTACATCACCTTTCCTTTTAACAACACTTGAAAACAGACTAAAGATTAAAGATGCCAATTTTTAAAAGCAGAATATTTTGCCATTTTTCTTTTACAAATGTCATCAGCTGTGCAAACATACATGGCCTTTACTGTCATATTCTGAGCTTAGTAAGACACATTTACAAAGAGAGACTGTTCTGGACTGCAGGAAGGCCAGTCTCAAAATCTCTGCTTACGCAGCCACACTGTTGTAACACATTGAAATAAGCCTAGACAAACTGTCTAGAAGGCAGCATATGTTGCTCCAAAATGTGTACAGCATTAATCGTTCCCTCACAGATGTGCAAGTTACCCACTAATACTCCCCCACCATACCATGACAGACCCTGGCTTTGGAACTGATTACTGGTAACAGTCTGGATGATCCTTTTCTTCTTTGTCCCTGTAAACACAACATGCATTATTTTCATTAATAATCTGTAAGGCTGACTCGTCAGACCACAACACACGTTTCCACTGTGTATCAGTCCATTTAAGATGAGCTTGAGCTCAGAGAAGCATAGTACAGTCTTCACTTGCATTTGTGGATGCAGCGATGGACAGTGTTTATTGGAAATGGTTTTCAGAGTATTGCTGAGACTTTGTGGTGATATCCATCACAGAAGCATGCTGGTTTTTTAAAGCAGTGCTGTGTGAGGGATCAAAGCTCATGGCATTCAGTAGTGTTTTTTGGCTTTGCCATTCATGCACTGAGATTTCTCCAGATTTCCTGAATCTTTTGATGCCTAAAATTCTTACTGTCGCTTGCTGAGGAATGTTATTCTTAAACTGTTTTTTTACAGATTTTGCTTTTAATTTTTTTGATAGTGGCAAGCCTCAACCCTCCCTTACTTATAAAGTACTAGGCCTTTCCTCGCTATTCTTATACCCATGAATGATTGCATCATTTATTTTTTGAACATCTCACAAAGTACTTTTTTGGACCATGTTGTAGTCATCAAATTCAGAATTGAGTGTATGTTTATACAAAAACAATGAAGCTGAGAGAGTAAAACTTTACATATCTTGTCATTCAAATACAGATCAAGGCAGATTTATAAATCAGTGCTGTCAGTTGGACTTCTATGTGTAGTTTTTTATGCATAGGTAAAAACAAGGCTAACCTATTTAGCTAAATTGTCCTGACAAGGTCATGTAGTTTTTTTTTTGTTTTTGTTTTGTTTTTTTAATCAAAGCTGCGTTTCTTTTTTTTTACTGAAAGGACAAAACGTTTTTTAAATTAAGGTTAGGATTATGTTTAGGGTTAGGTTTAGAATTTAATAAATATAGGTAGATACATGCAGCATATAATTTGTGTGGAAAAATGTGTATGGTTATTTCGTAACTAGGTCTACATGCAAATATATGGGGACAAAATGTCCTCAAGATGATAACAACCATAAAACATGAGCATATTTTAATAGGTTTTCTTTAAGGCTTTTTTTTATATGAGAGGATCCCTTAACACATTAAAATTTCAGTCACGTTGAGCAGGCTGAAAAGTGTCCACAAAGAGAAGCCATTAATGCTTGAGTACCTAATGTGTGCCTTGTGAGGAGACGGACACGAACCCACATCAGCAGGATCTCACAAACACAAATTATATAGAAAGTAAAGCCCGAAAGTAAAAAAAAAAAACACCCGTGTGAGAAAATACACATACGGTGTATTTGATGCTGCTGTCATTGCACTACAACAACTGTTTATTGATATGGGAAATATTCACTCAATCGGAGTAACAATACTTGGAGATAGCTACAGGTGAAGAAGCACCTGGGCATGCTAAAGAAAAGTGGTACCTCACATGAATTACACTGTGTGACCTTGTTTTGTTCCAGAATAAAGTCTGTAAGATGTATTCGCAGCAATATTTAATAACTTTGATGGTGTCTGCTGTGAAGATGCTATTACAAGAGCTGTGTGTGTGTGCTTCAATGTGTTCTTCTCAAATGAGAGATACTATCCATGTTTCATGGAACGTATATCCGGATATCAAAACCTCATAGACTTCCTCATAAAAGAGGCCCTGGAGGAATGGAGTTATCTAATAAGGCGGTCTCATCTTCACCAGTTAATTCTGTAGAAACAGCTGGAAATAAAGTAGTCTCAATCTGGAAGTAGTCTGGAGTAGATTGGAATCTGACTAATAGCATGAAAGGATTTGAGTGAAAACACTGCGTCCCTTCTGTCGATTTCTATCTGTTAATTTCTGGACCACACCTGTGCAGGGTTGCACAATGCTCGTAGGAACACGGAGTTCAGATTTTGCATTTAAATCCTTTACTGATTCTTCTTCAGAAGAAAACTGCTGCTGATGTGAAGCAGCGGTGAGCCAGAAACACCTACAATAAACAGCTACACCTTTAAAATAAAATGACAGTGTAAGCATAAGCACAATCATGCAGATATTCACGGATGGAGACTGCTCTAGCAGAGAGAGAGAATGCCTCTCTTTGTGAAGGATTCGTCCATACCCTGGCCAGTCCAGCTGAGGCATAAGCTCTCCTGCCATTAAACCCAACCTGTAACCAGGGCAACCACTTTTTCCCCCATCTCTAGCAGCACGGCTCTGCTGAGGTGTTCTGAATTCCTGCCTAGCATCTGAATGAAAAAGTTGCCTAATCACAGGAGGCAGGAAAAGAAGAGCCAGGCATTCTGTGCTACACAGAGGGTAAAGGGAGTGACTGTGTCTCTCCACATGGTATTTTTGTTCCAAAAGCCTTGTTATATTTTTAAACCCCCCACCCTCCCATCTAAAGTTGAGCGAGAGTGAGGCGGCTGTGTGGAGAATCTGCGCAGATGTTTGAATAAATAAGAATATGGATAAGACTTCTCCGAGTGGAACTGATGTGCGCTGCCGTGCTGAAGAATCACAGAGCTCAACACAAGCCTAATCTGTCTGCTCTGTAGGGGTATGATCCTCCAAAAACGGCAACAGCGATCTGCACCCCCGGGACACTGCTCCTTTCCCATTGCCCTCTCCACTATTCCCCCTCTTACCATGCATTCTTTTCTATTTTTTTTGCGATCCTACATCACAGCGCACTGTCTATCCAAGTTTTAGAGTATAAGCTGGTCCCAGTGTTGATGTTAATGGTGACTGTTAATTAATCTTTGTTTATCATTTCATTCTTTCTGCCGCTGTAGTCTCCACAGCCACATCTTGTAATGACCCTGGCATGCCCACTAATGGCACTCGCAGTGGGGACAGCAGAGAGCCAGGGGACCATGTGGTCTTCCAGTGCGATCCTGGTTATGTCCTGCAGGGGGCGACGAAAATCACCTGCACAGAGATCAACAACCGTTTCTTCTGGCAGCCTGATCCACCTACCTGCTCAGGTAATAACAACCTTTCGAAATAGCCATTTAACAGCAGAGCTGTTCGAAGCTTTGCATGAGGAATGGACTGAAACTACTTGCCCACAATGCACCAAAAGAGTACTTACCAGTTGATTTGATTTTGTAGAAGCAAGGGAGCTCCAGTATTCTCTACAGTGGAAATGCTAGTCAACACTGTAATTGAGTAAACTGATGCTTAGAAAATGTTTTCACTTTCTTCAATTGTGTGACAATGATTGCACTTCAAAATGGTTAATTGGAAATTATCTGAGAGCACAAGAGGTGGAAAAAAGAAGTCTTTTGACAATGTTCGTTGGCTTTTATGAATTTTAAGTTTGTTCTTGCTGAAGTGATGGCAGTTAACAACAGCAATTAAGAGCCTGTAATTAGCTGCCTTGTTCGATTAAGGCCACATCGAGTTTGCCTGAAAGCTTAGCTAAACCACAAGCAAATCTGGGGGCTTCTCCAAGGTTATATGTGAAAACCCAGCACCAAATGTCAACAGTCATTAGTATTCTTCATACAGCGAGTCAATACAGAGGACTTGTGTACAACCAGAAGAAAATAAAGGCTAGAACAGAAAACATAATAACTTCAGGCTTTGACTAACTTTAATCTTGGACGAAAAAGACATGGTGTAAGATTAATATGAATTGAATCAGAAGGGAAAAAAACAATCACTACTAAATTTGGGTGGTGGGTATCTATGTGGTTTTGGACATCAACATGAAAAGCTCAAACAATCTAGGCTGGCATAGCATGAATGTTAGAGTCGGGGAAGGTTAGGTTGCTTAAGGAGAGATTAGTGTTCAGTCATAAAACGAACAGAAACATGGCTTTGTCACATTTATCTTGGCGCCTTTTGACAAGGCAGTTGCAATTTTGATTAAATGAACAAATGTTTATCATTATTTGTTCTTTCAGCTCCCTGTGGGGGAAATCTGACAGGTCCAAGTGGTCTGATTCTGTCTCCTGAGTACCCAGAGCCCTACCCTCATGGTAGAGAATGTGACTGGACAGTCAGTGTAACTCCAGACTACATCATCTCCCTCAATTTCAACCAGTAAGCAAAGACTCTGTGGCTTGCTCATTGTGTCTTAATACTCCCTTTCTTGTTCATAGACCATGGACAGCCTTCTATACTCATAAATACATGTGCCAATGACAATGGTACTTATATTTATCTCATGGCACTTAAGTTCCATCACCACTCTTTTCCCTCTTCTTTTAGCTTTAGCCTGGAGCCCAGCTATGATTTTCTGCACATCTATGATGGGCCCGACTCTCTCAGCCCACTGCTGGGCAGCTTCTATGGCACAGATGTCCCAGAGCGCATCGAGAGCAGCTCCAATACACTTTTCCTGGCCTTCCGCAGCGACGCTTCGCTAAGCAGCAATGGCTTTGTCCTGCAGTACACAGGTACGCCTACAAAATTCTAATGCTAGGAGTGAATTATTTAGCATAATTACTGTTTGAGAGTGTTATTGGGTATGGCTGATGTGGTTCGTGTGCGTTTGTGGCACAAACTACATGATTGCTGTTAATTGTATGCGACATGGGGTGATTATGAAAGGTCAAATAGCTGCTGCAGGGCAGCATGCATCCTGCTACATCCACTCACCAAGTATCGACTTTGTTCATTGCCTTTTCTCCTCTTGTTTTTCATGTGTAAGGGGACAATATTAGCCTGGTGTAAATTGGTTGTCTTGAGGAGCGGGCTGTTTCAATGTTCTCTTGATATTCCCTCCTTTCTTGCGCCATGTAATTATCGACCCATAGTACTTCTCGCGAGCGACTAGAAAAGAATTATGAATTATTAGAAAAATGAAAAGCTGAAGTGCGTGTGCCGAAGCTGGGGTTTGATCAATGCTTCGCTGTCACACCAAAGGCTCAGTGCAAATGAGAACAAATGCCTGTTTGTTGTCCCCGCGCGCTCCCGCTGACCGCTCTCTGTTTGCTTTAGCTTGTTTGCTCGTTCAGGGGGTATAGTGCAAACAGCAAACACGTCTGCCGTCGCGTGAGTCTCACACAAATTAGTCACGTTGACCAGAGGTGCAGTGGATCTAAGGCACGTTGTGTCTCTTGTTTGCTCTTGATGAGTGTGCTGTATCTAGCCTGCACGAATCAAAGCAAGGTGCTGGGAATAAATTGAGAACAGCTGGGGGTATAGCTTCTCATTAATACTAAATATATCCTTTTGGTGCCAGTGAACTCGAAATGAACCACACTATTACACCAGCAGCTGACTAAGATGGGCATTGGCCCTGGCTGGTGGGTGCTGGCCAGTGAGAGAGCACTCTTTAGCTGTGCTTAGTGGAATGGAGAACAGTATTCTCTCAATCTGGTGGAGCAGATGGACTCAGTGTGTGGCACTCCGAAAGCTCCAACTCCAGACCCCGATCGCCTCACTAATGAATTACTATGAACTAATAACGTGGAAAACGGTGTAAACATACACACTTTAGCTTGTTTGTTTATCTTCTCTTTCTTTTGAGCCCTCCTGCACTTGTGCCTTTGGCCCTGGCTCCTGTTGGTTGCCCCGTGCGTGCCAGTGCTCTTGGATCAAGCTTTAGGCACCGTCAACCTCTTAACAGACCAATCAGCTTTTCACAAACCCCCGACTGGGTCTGATTGGCCTCCGAGGTGCGATATGTGGGCCAAGACTCTGCATGCTTGACCGATAGTTAAATAAACACCACACGCATACACTTGCAACTTCTCTATTATGTCTTTGCGTTCCTTGCCAGATCGAACACTCACGATGTCTGAAAACACTAACCCGCGCACACACAAACACACACATATACGCACGCATTTGAGCTACTCTTCAAGGCCAGCTACTGTCCAGTCTTAATTATAGGCCAGCTCCAGGCCTGTGGTGTATTAGCAGAGTGAGGCCAGGTGCTGGCTAATGTCAGCTGTCAGGCAGTGTGGAGCAGATTGGAGACCTGTATCAGTGCTCTGCTTGGCTATGAAGGGCGCAAGCCTGCCATGATAACCTGGCCACTGTGGCACTGGCTAACTTTAGTTCCTGTTAACCCTTAAATGTATGATGTTTGATCAATGTTTGAGTGTTCCAAAGGTATGAATGGTGAATCTAAATTGCCAAAAAGTGGTTTATTCTCACCTCAGCTAATTTTTCCCGTACACTCTGATAAAGTGTTTTATGGTATCAAAATATTAGCCCTCATTCACCAATATATACGTTTTTTCACTAATATATGTTTTTTTTCTTAAATGTGTTCTTGAGAAAGGTCCTTAAGAAATAGTCTATGTCAGATTTATGACGTGTTTTTAAACCGCACCTTTGTGCTCTTGAGTGTGTGTAGATTCTGTTCTTACCTAAGAACAAATCCCAAATACGAAAACATTGGTGAATGTCAGAATCTTCATGAAAACTTCGTTGGTGTGTTTTAAGAAGAAATTTCTTCTTACGAATGGTTGGCTTATAGTTTTACTACTGGGAGCTATTTTTTAAAATATGGTGATTTTTGCCAGATTTGAATCAGAATATCCTATCTACATTTTTACATAGGCAGATTATGAGCAGATTTTTTTTTTTTTTTTACTATTACACATTTAAGTGACATGCCTTCCTGGTATTGTGTCGTCAGATTTTACCATCATGCAGGCATGTATTGAATCTTTCCAGCTGTTTCATGGTGTTTTAACTTGCCAAATAAATATGTTTATTATTCCTAAATCCATAAGGAGCCTAGATTTTTCCTGTTATTTTTCCTATTTTTGCTGTAATCCGAAGCATTTCCAAAGCAATCTGACACATAGGTATCTAGACAAGTTAGGCCATATACAGCTGACCACTGAGGTACTACCAAGGTACCTAAATCATATTTAAGCCTATTTTATGTAAAGGGTTTTTTTATTTGTTTGTTATTATTAACAGTTGTTGAGATTGCGGAGATTGCGAGCCAGACTCTCTCGTCCAACATCATTGTCTGACCTCACAAATGCTCTTCTGGATGAACGGGCAAAAAATCCCACGGACACACCCCAAGATCTTGTAGGAAGCTTCCCAGAAGAGTGGAAACTGTTATTGCTGCAAAGTGGGAAACAACCCCATATTAATGCCTATGGATTTAGAATGCAATGTCATAAAAGCTCCTGTAGGTATAATGTGTAGATGACCCAGTACTTTTAGTGTACCACGTAGTGTATCAATACCTTATTTTGAAAGAAATTCTTGTTACTTTTACTGTATCAGAGTTTGTGTTTGCATTTGTATTTGTAATGTTATATGCTAACAGGTAAAAACACTTACCACCCTTATAAATAGTTTCTCAAGTGGCCTAAGACTTCTACGTAGTACTGCACTTTTTGGTTGTTGCTGGCATTTATATCAAATATGAACCGACTGACAAACTGCCATGATAGTGCAAACTGTCAAAAATGTTTTATTGACAAAAGCAAAATAATAAATACATCATGTTTTGTTATTATATTTTGGTTTGTCAGTTATCTGGTAAAAACGACAAAATATATGGGGGGTTAGATCACAGGTTGCTAGTAAACTGAGGTGTGCATTTAAGGGTTAAGTGTACATGCTCTGACCTCAGAAAAAAAGAAATCACTGGAGTCCTGAAACAAGCTCCGAAAAGCACGTAAAGAAAAGCTTTGTGTTAAGTTGCACTCTCTTTTTCTTTGCACATGTGGCCATGTAGGAATGGTGATTGATTTCTAATTTGGGCCCAAATCGTCTCGCACAGTACACTGCACAGAAGCCCAATCCATGAGTGACTGTTCTGTGTAGTCAGCACTCCTCGATCCAGCATAGTGTCACTTTCAATCTCTCCGGTGTCTGCCTCAAACACAAAGTTGTCCCTGCTCTGGGGAAAGGGAAATAGCATGAGGAGTACCTCTAGGGGACTGAATATAGTAATGCATGTATGTGTTTTCTTGTACAGAAATTTTTTGCACTTATTTAGTGTTTCTTATCTCAGTTAGGAGGCTTTCCATTTCAACAATCAATGTATTTGTTCCTGTTGTGACCTTTAGCTGTCTTTGTAGCCATTGCTGCTTCACTACCAGTGCAAGATCATTGATTTTAACAAACAGCTATAAATCGCCCACTTTCACCCTTTCTGTCTCCTTCCAACCCGTCTCCCCGTCTCTTTCTGCCACAGAAAACCCCAGAGAGTCATGCTTTGAGCCAGGCCTTGTCAGAAATGGAACGCGCATTGGCACAGAGTTGAAGCTGGGCTCCATGGTCACCTACTACTGCGATAGTGGCTACACTCTGGAGGGAGACGCCACTCTCACCTGCATCATGGGATCAGACAGCAAGCCCAGCTGGAACAAACCGAAGCCTCTGTGCATAGGTATAAACTCCTCAGCCAAAGAGGCTTTTTAGAATGTGCTTGTGTAAGTGCCATAATTACTGTAATTAAATCTTTGTCTCAACCTCGCATAGTGTATGCCTCTATTGTATTTCCTGTAGTGGAATTTTCTTCAGGTGTATCCTGATTGGCTGTCTGCATAAACATCCATGAACTGATTTTAATCTGTCCAATGTGAAGCAGTTTTGCAAACAGGTACCCACTCTGCCTGCTATGATGAGTCTTATGGAGCTATATGTAGTAGCTGGATTAAAAATCTTTTGCGAATTTCATATTACATCTTTAATTGTTATTCAGTAGCTTTCAAGCATTTAGAAGCTTCTAATGTGATCTATAATCTATAATCTATTAAGGATATAATCTGATGTCCTTGCATTTCTTGCTGGCGCATACCACTTTGCTTTCTGTGGGTGTGTTTTTGTTGTAGTCATCTCTGAAATTCACCTGCCCCTACAGGTCACATAAAAACAATAGCCTGGCTGGTTATTTTGCATGTCAGTACTGTGTTCCTGTCTTGTAAGTGTGGCACATTAAGTGACAAAATGCACCACAGTCTCTGACGATAGGCAGAAGATGGATTAATGGATTAAGATGGATTGATGGATTAAGATGGATTGAAGATAGGCTTGCTGGATTAATTAAATCTCAATATCAGTTGTGAAAACATGTAACTTGTAACATTTATGCAGTAATAATTATACAGTGTAGATTTAAATACTATAAACTAGACAGCAAAAGGTATTTTTTGATGTTTTGAACAATATCTCAGTGAGAAATAACATACTGAATTTATACAATAATTTGAGGCATTCTATGTGTTAATTATATTATAACTTCTCAGTGTCATGCAGCTTTTTCATTGAATTTAAAATCATCTACAGTTCATTCATCATTCTGGATAAATGTAATTTTTCTTCCTAACTTCCTACTAATTATTTCAGTCTGAGTTTTAGGGGACTAGCGTATTAAAATAACTGTATGCATTAACGTGCAACTGGCTTGCTTTTATAATATTGAAACAGTAATTCCACACTTTTGAATGGAACAGAATATGTAAAAACAGATTTGTGCCAGCCAGGTAGTAGATGGTACTGTCATGTGCACCATTCCCTCAGAGAAAGGAGAAGGCACGTCTCTGCAGGCTAACCCGCAGAGACGCTTTGAAAACATTGCAATTTCACTTCAGCAAATACTGGAGACATCCAGAGGTACAGCTCAGCAATCAGACAAGGAAAGTAATTTAAGATCAGCGGAATGAGGGAGCACTGCAGAGGAGATGGCGGAGACAGAAAATTAGTGTCTAATACTCTCTCGCCCTTTCTCTCTCTCTCTCTCTCTCTCTCTCTCTCTGTCTCTTTGTCTGTCTCTCTCAGCTCTGTGTGGTGGTCAGTACTCTGGGCTGGAAGGAGTTGTGCTTTCCCCTGGTTATCCTGGAAACTACAGCAGTGGGAGAACGTGTCTCTACTCAGTGACGGTACCCAAAGACTACGGTACGCTTCCAAGCTGCATGCACATTAACACTGCACTATATGAACAGAAAACTACACTGCTATTATATTGCTACATAATTGCAATTATGTTATGCCTTGCAAAGTATTATTCAACAGTTAGTTCCGATGACACAATCTGGTTGGTTGTTTTTTCTCCTTACAATAACTGTATCATTCTGTTGTGCACTAGTTGCTAAGTAACCACTCGGTTTACACTGTAGTTAACCATTACTACATTTTCAATTTAGCACTTAGATAACTTAGATAATATTTGACCTACAGCACATTTGGTCATATTCTGAAGGAGAGTGTGGACAACAAATTTCGCTGCCCCTAAGCAAGCTTTTTGGTTGTTAGCTGTAGACAGAACAACTACGCAAACTAGAATTAACCAGATATAATCAGAGTACAGTTCGTCAGACAAGATGGACTTTGAAGTGCTTAACAGACTGACTACTGAAGCACATCTGAATGTATTAGGGCTTCTTTGCTTTACTTTATTCTCTTTTTTTTGCAGAACTGTTGTATAAAAGCAGTATAACACTCGAGGTGTTGTGTTATTACACATTAGTATCACAGCTGTGGTGATCTAAAGTTCTTGCCTTTAACTCATGCCTGTGAGCGAATCACAAAGCTCATATTATTTGCAGTAATACACGCTCTCTCGTGTTCTGTTTCTGATTTAAAGAAACACATGAGAACCTCTGATGTATCAAAATTGTTTGCATTAGTTCAAAAGCACCCAGATCACACTCATCTTAAACATGTGAGATTGTTTAGGATTTTCATAGCACACAATAAAACAAAACAACTCTGTGATTTGTTATAAGGCTCATTTGCATATTGCAGACTTTGATAATATCAGTATTGCAAAGGCCTATATTGTGAAAAAAATTACATGATATATTGTGCTGCACATGCTGCACCTGTACTGAAGTGCCTTCATGATCTTCCAGTCACACTTTCTTTAGGTGGTTCCTCTTAGCTTATTTACAAGTGCTGAAACTATCAATAATATTCTTTAACATTAATAACCTGGTAAACAGCATTGGGATTAGGGTTAGGATTGGATGTAGGATAAGAGCTAGAGTTAATGTTAGATTAAGAGTTGAAGTTAAGTTTAGGTTTAGCATGAGTGTTAGGTTTAGAGTTAGGGACAAGTTAGGTGGAGTTTAGTTGAATGAATGTTACAATAAGGTGAGCACCTACAAACCTTCTACAGTGGACCCTTTAAAATGAAGTGTTTTACATTAAAGCCTTGTCACCTCCACTCTACTACAAAACCCTGCATCATATGGCATTTCTTGCTGTTTCCCCCTCCTCTGTCTGCTGAAGAGGGTTAATGAGAAATAAGCGGCTGCTGGGGGGCTTGTGATTATGGTCATCCCTCATTTCACCCCAGCAGGTGCTACTTGACCACAGGACGCTGTTGTCTGATCCATAAAAGGTGGAGGTCGTTTGGGTGATTTGGAGGGCCCTGCAGCGTCCCAGCATTGCCTAATTCAAAACAGGAGCATATTTCTCTGGGCTGAGTCGAGCGGTGTGGAAATAGAGATAATTAAGGCCCACATTTTCATAGGCACAGTCTAATGACTTCGAACCACAGGGAGAGGCTGAGTGCTTTGTCATGTGGAACTACAGAACCGGGTTCTTTGCTGTGGTTCACATTTGGAAAATCACGTAGCTGAACTCCAGGGTGTGTGAAGGAGACACGTGTGGTTCTCTGTAATTAGGTACTACATGTTCCAGTGACAAAATCATTTATGAGTGGCGTAAATCTTTTTTTGCACCAACGAAGAGAGTCAGGAGACCAGATGCAGTGATGTAGATCTATTCAGTAACATGTTGTGACATCAGTTATGGCCCAGTCTGTGTCTGACCAGTGCTTTGTCATGCTCGGTCAGTGAATTCTTCCTCAGTCATCATGCCACACCCACACAAGTCATGATCCCAGCTGTCTGTTTGTGAGTCAAAATGTCATTTCTTCATTTGTTTGTTTAATCCTTCTCTCTCTGTCCTCTACAGTGGTGTTCAGCCAGTTTGCCTTCTTCCAGACGGCTCTGAATGATGTGGTGGAGGTGTACGATGGTCCTACACAACACGCTCGTGTCTTAAGCTCACTTTCTGGGGCTCATTCAGGTCAGTGGGTCCCCCTCACCCCATATGGTAGAGTATGCTGCCTGCACACTTCTACCTATAACTCATCTCAGTCTGACACATACAAACTAGAGGTGTAAATCTCTGACCTCACAATTGTTCAGATGAATTACTTAGGAAATGATTCAGTGCATCATCAAATCTCAAAATTTGTCATGATTCAGTTAGAATATGTTGGTACAGTTCAGAAAAACAAAACCACACAATGACTACACAAATGTGAGCAGAGGAACTATTATGCAGTATAGCCAATAAAAACACAATATACCAAGCATTTCTTAAGCAGGTGGATTTTTTTATATCTAATGTTTTCAGAAATATCTCCTGAAAAAAGAATCATTTGTGCTTAATGGCATTTTAGCTGGGTGTTAGATAAATGAACGGTGGTCTATGACATTTGCACAATACTGTACTTTTATGAATTCTGCTAATATTAATAAAATAATTCTAAAAAATTCTGTTAACATTCTAAAATAAATGCAGTTGAGCCTCTGATCAATGTGCCAAGATGCACTGATGCATTTTTACACACCGGATAGAAACATACAGTTAAGACATTAGAGAGAAAATTAGTGACTAAATTCATAATGTGGATTCATTTCTGAAGTGACAGACACTGGGCTTGTATACATTTTATGGCTCTGTGAAATTCTGCAGCTTATTCTTTTATAACATCTGTCCCCCTGCAGTTTTAACTAGTTGACAGGGGCCTTTTAAACGTGCCTTTCTGGGGCTCCAGCTGTTTAGCAGCGGTGTGAAATGCGCACGGATGATTCTTCCTTAATTATCGGGTCGCGCTGTAGCCGAGAGGAGGAAAACACTGAGTTTCTGTAGTCAACATAACTCAGTGACTCATAGAGGCAGAGTTAAGCAGGCAACTTAATGCAGAGTTAAACAGTTCTGACTTAGGAAAAAAAATGTCATACGAAAACCTTGTTAGCATCAACTCTGACGCATTTTAATAGCCCCTTAGTGACAAACAGCACACACTCAGCCTCTATAGTGGCTGCTGACGCAGAGCATCAGAGCATTCCTCCTTCTGGGCTTCTGCGTTGACTCCCCCGTGTACAATGCTGTTTTATTTCTGAACTCAATTCAGTCAATTGCAGTTGCTTTTTATATAGAGAATGCTGTGTCATACTTCAGTACAGAGGTCTTTAACATTCGGGCAGCAATGTGAAGTTACTTGACACTATGAAAACAGTGTGTACACCATTATGAATAGCATGTTGTTTTTGTTTTTTACATAATTTGAAAACTCTAGTTACCCTTTGCTTTCTGTTAAAATTTCATGATGAATGGACCAACATGAGAAATGGTCCAACATTACTTGGAAAAAAACCTTGTTAAGAATGTATTTTCCTTTTTCTGTTTTAGGCTGGGTGTACACTACACAATTTTTTGCCAGATTTTAACCCAGATTTGCCCATTGCAACAAATTTTCACAATCTGAAGTGATTTTCCAGGTCGGGAGCTTGATCGGAAGTGACTGACGGCGTGAATGATCTGGTATTGTGAGAGGAGAAACGAGTGAATCTTTAGCCCTCCGATCAATTTCTGAAGTTATCGGAGGCTCTCTGGTATCATCAAATGCTTGCTATTTACAACTCAAAACGTTCACGAGTCCTGTAGTGTGAGAAGGTCTACTAATTTTCAACTAATCAACTAATTATTCTAACAACAGCCAATCAGAAAGCTAGAGGAGTGGAGAAAAAAGCGAAGAGACGTGCACGCACACTGCCCGAACAGCAGAGCGCAGAGACAGAGGAGCTGCGTGTAAAACGCAGGCACATAAGAGCCCTTGTCAGGTTTATGATGTATGGATCCAGACGTCAGGTCACTCTCTTTACAATTTCAGGTCAGCTGCCAGTTTGTAGTGAAATATTTCTCCAGCTCTCACTGTGATATCAGCGTTTCTCAGCCCCATATTAATCCCTAGTTCACACTTCTGCTGCGCATAAAAGCACAAACAGGTCCATTCCAGAACATTTGGTTTTGTCTAATCAGAAATACGCAAGGCTAACAGGCTAAACAGGCTTCTGAGGAGAGTGAACACTTTAAAGACAATAATTTAAGCATATACTTTAAATGTGTGGGTTTCCCAGCCTACCCAGGTGCATGAATAGACAGATAGGAGATTACAAACAGTGAATAAGTTTACATCTTCATCAGACCTGAAGAGGAACAAGGAGTGTTTTGCATTACTTGCCATGTGCACCCCAATTTGGCCGAGAAGTAAGTGGCTACCTTAGCTGCCAAACTATCCATCAAACTATAGTGTATTAAGTGTGCTTTCTTTGAATGCACTGATTTTCTGTGGAGTTTAGAAGTAGGACTCTGGTAATGCTGGCTAGTTAGAGTCTTTAATTTATTGACTTTTACTGAAAGTTAGCACTCCAGCTGATCACTTAGGAGTAGCTGATTTATCCCAGAAAATCTTGTGAACTTGTGAACCCTATGAGAGAAATGTGAGTGAGAGAGAGAGCAGCTGTGTCCCAAAGCCAAGGATGCAGCCGAGAAAGGATACACTTTGGGCCATTATGTGACTGAAGGCCGTCCAGTTTTGTAAGATCCTACAAGTGCATCAGTTAGCCGTGATGTGTTGGTACAGCCTATTCAAGCTGTCTAGAACATGCGTGAGCACTGAGGAGGAGTCGTCATATACCAATTATAGCAAGGTCTCTCAATCCTCATCTGCAGCCTTCACTTTGAGACACGACTGATAATTCTGACTGAAGCTTAGTAACAGGACTGTGACATGTTTATTGCTAACTGTAACATTTTAAAAGTGCAGCGTGTAAGATTTACTGGCATTTAACAGTGAGGTGTAGTGAATAGTGTACTATGGTACAGTGTAGTAGAACCTGCGGTGGCCGTCATGTTTTTGCTTCTTTGATAGCGAGGATTCACCCTCCCTTGTTTTTCCTCTGCTGACTAATAAGCATGATCCTCCATTTGTTAAAATTTGGGTTCTCAAACTTCTCGCAACACAAAGTGGTTAGCCAGCACAGGCAGCAACCACTGATTCTTCTTTTTTTCTACGTCTTCCAATCAAATTCAAGCTGCCGCTTTAACATGATAATAATAATAATAATAATATCTGTTTTTATAGAGCACTTTTCATACTGGTGGCAGCTGAAAGTGCTTTACAGGCAGGTGATAATGTTGTACAGTAATAGACAAGACAATGACAGATCAAGTTAAAAAAAAAAATACCAAAGAGACGTAGAATTTTAATTGAACACAAAATTAAAAAGAAACATTTTCAAAAGTTTCTTAAACTTTTTAGCCTGACTGTCTAACTGAAGCTGGAATCGAGTTCCACAATTAGCATAATAACTGAACAAGGCCTTTCCACGTTTTCAGTATTTTACAAAAGGTATTTGTAGAAGGCCACTATCTGCAGATCTAAGGTCATACGCTGGAACATAAACAGACAGACATTCTGTGATGTACACAGGTTCTAGAGCCTTAAAACTAGGAGCAGAATTTTAAAATCTGTCCTGAAAGATTCAGGTAGCCAGTGCAGTTCTTGCAGTAATTTAAGCTCTCTGTTTTGTTTTTGTTAGGATCTGTGCTGCTGCATTTTGTACGAGTTGTAAGGGATGTATTGTTTTCTTAGAAAGTTCAGTAAGAAGATCATTAAAGTGATCAACTCTGCTTGTAACAAATGCATTAACAAGTTTCTCTGCTATTTCTTAAATGATAAAAAGATAATTTTGTGACTGTGTTTACATGCAGGTCAGAGTCTAAGATCACACCCAGGTTTCATACTTCAGGCTTGGTATACGAAGCTAAAGAATCAAGCTTCTCATAAAGCATTTTTCATTATAGTACCAAGTATTAGTGTTTCACTTTTTTCGTAATGTAGTTGTAGAAAATGTTGTGACATCTACTGAGAAATATCTGACACTCAGCTGATAAGCCTGTAAACAGACTTTAGAGTCTTTATCAGAAGGAATCAAAATGGATAATTGTGTGTCATTAGCATAGCTATGAAAAAATATGTCCCCCTGCAGTTTGTGGAGTAATATGACTCCAGACGGGAACCTGAAAAACTGATGCTGTGTGGATTATTTGGGCTGAGACCAACTTTTACCACGTTATATACTTTGTTAAACAGATTAAGTCAGCAAACCCACTTCAGGGCCAGCAGAGAAACCTGGTGTGGCTTCAGCCGTGCAGCAGCATTTTGACACATTTCTTTAATTTTGCCATTATTAATGTATTGAAAGGCTGAATCCAGAGCTATTAAAATACCCAGGCAGTTATGCCAGTGGTTACATCCTCCCAAAATGGCCGTGTTGCATTTTGGGATGCAGTACATCATCAAGACGGCACTAGAATATTTTGCCAGAGCAGTACATCATCCAGGTATCCTTGGCATACTGGAGATGGATCACGTTGATCACATGCTGCATAGTATCTGTATGTGACCTTAATGAAGAGCTGGATGCGTTTTTTGCGGATTGAGTTTTGCTGATATGTTTTTACAGAAATGATTTGGGCTGTTTGGCCCGAACTAGACCGCTGAGTTCTGATTTTGTTAATAACATTAGCATCATAGCTTCAGTGCTAAACAAGCAGGCAAAAATTGAAGGCCAAACATATCTTGGCTGATGAAGTCCATCTGTGCTAAATGGAAAAAATTGTGTAAATCTGATGTTTTGCCACACTATTCCTTTAAAAAGCATAAAAGATTGTGCAGCAACCCTGTGCAGCGAATCGTGTGGGTGGATGGTCAGCAGAATATTTCTGTGAAGCCTTGCGCATCTGTATGTATGTTGAATGTCAAGTGCTGGTCTCAATGACATTGACGTGTGTTTTATTCTGCAGTCACTTGTAGCCGTCACTACGTTATCAAGCTTGCTGATGAAATATGAAACACTGCTCATATTTTAATACCACCATTGGGTACTTAGTGAATGGACAATTCAGGAAGCAGTTATCACCCAGGATTGCATCACCATTTATCTATTTTAGTCCTTCATACCCAGGATTATAGTGCTGCTCCAGCACTGCGGCAGCGCTGGTAATAATAGCATAGCTGAAATAAACTGCAGGTGTAAATAAATCAGCGCTCAGGGTTTCCCCACGCCTCACCCCGGCCTGGATTATTAGCTGTCATCCTGACAGCTGCCCACAGAGGCCTGCTCTAATAACTACCCAGCATGCCACAGGCTCAGGTGGCAGCATTGGTGTAACCCAATGTGTGACACGGCAGTGCATATCATGTAGTGTTTCTCGTCTCTGGTCACTGCAGGGATCTTGTCAGTGCTGAATCTGGACTCCACGAAATACTCTCATCATGCCCAGCAGAGCCCCAGGGAACTGTGGGTAGAATCACATCCTCCACACAGCCCCTCCCCTCAGTCCATACTGTGTGTATGCACATATGCACGCGCACACACAATAAAGCACAAAGCATATGTTGAGTAATAAGATCCTCAGGGGAGTCTACCTGATGAGATGTGAAAGGTTATACGGTAAATACCTGACAGCGAGGAAGAAAGCCGTAATACCATCAGCTCTGAAAAGATTTCCCTCTGCCCAGTGTAACTGGACTGGTTCTATTTTTTTACAAATTTATAAACTGGAAAAATGAACTGTTGACCACTTGAATGGGGGACTTCTTTAGATGTCAAGAAAGAGTGAATCTTTTATTGCACAATAATAGCAATAATCATAATTTTCCGTGTTTAGATACTGGAAATATAAAATAAGGAGCAGATTTTATACTTGATGTTCTATTTCTAATAAGAATCAGTCACTTTATTGACCAGGTACATTTTTTATTTTTGACATAATTTGAAAACACTGTCCTTCACATTGTGTCAAAATTTCACGACGAATGGACCAATAGAAATGCTCCATAACGACTTGGAAAAAAATCATGTTGCATTAAGTTTCATTACAAGTTAGGAAGGTTTTTTCCTTCTTCTGTGAAGTTCTGAAGATACCATTTTGGAGATGGCTTTGTTCCGACAGCAACAAAACGTGATTAATCCAAACAACTAATAAAATAAAATAAGACATATGATCTAATGAGCATTTTCATTTTCATGCACTTTAAAGGCATATGCCATTTGGCTATTGATTGCTAAATGAATAAATAAGTAAATAAATGGAAATGTTTTTGGAAGAAAAAAAACGATGAAAAAAATGTCTGAATAAAATACTTGCCCAAAGAAGACAAAATCCATGTCTTTGGCATTTGCTCTTGTGCTGTCAGGGAAGGATTTGCGCTGTGGTTGAACTTCCATGTTGGCCTTTGAGTTTGTTTTATTTGTCCCCAGCACTGGGTTTTTGTCAGCAGGTTCCTTTGAAGTGATTGTTTTGTTTCACAGTGGTGCTGACGCTTAACGTTTCCACTTCCCACCAGCGGCATAGACTCTAAACAGATGAGACATATCGGTTTTAAACAAGTAGCAAAATGCACTGTAGCTGTACTGTAACTACAGTGTTTTGTACCATACTGCCCGGTGGTAAAACACGTTTGTGTACAGGGTTTATACGGGCTGATGTAAGAGTTTGGGCAACCCTGGTTAAATCACGTTAGTCCAATCGTCGTTACATTTTGCGTGCTGCTACTGTGTGCCATTCTGCCCCACGTTCCCCCAGAGACTGACATCATCCAATGAGATTTCAGCAGGCTTTGACATCTTTAGAATTGGTCAATCAACACAAAACTTGATGTGTATCTGCAAATATGGACTCTCTACTAACCTTCAAAGTTTGAAAGCCATCATCCACTGGAGGGCACGACTCATCTTTCAGAACACTAAAACAAGAAAACATCGCTTTTCTACCTTAGTGCATTCAGTGAGGTATGAAATAATGTATTTCTGTGAGACTGACAGCTTTGTCTGTTTGTCATATTGTAATGTCTACAGTTTTTCTACAAATGCTCTTTATTTGAAAAACACTTTTACTTTTGATCATCTCAAAATTGACCTTAAAACACGATTTGGACTCTAAGTAAATAATTCTCAAAAATATGTTGACTTTTTAACACAGTGTGGCTGTAACACATCAAACAAGGCGGAGCTTTGTTGACTCATTTGGCAGCAACTCAAGTTTGCATTGTCTAACTGAAACCAAAATTGGTACAGATATGCTCTGACAAAGCATGCCATTCAGGGTCTTAATTTGTCACTGAGGGGCTGTATGGTGCAAGCTTATGTGTTAATTCATTGGAATTCATATACTGTTTGTTCAGTGTGTGCTCAGAAAATGCAATGAACTTTAAAAAATATAAGAAATGTCAGCACATTATAGTCGCCAAGTGTCAATCAAATTTGTGATGGAACTTCTACATATTCTACCCTGAAATGCTTTTTACTCTAAAATGCTTTGACCGATTGTCACAAAACTTAATAGGCATGTACTTAAAAGGGGTTGTGGGCAACCTCCAAATTTGGTGCAGCTGCATTGCTAGGGGGCGCTATAACGTGCCGAAAAATGTTACACAACGAAGATTGTCCGATTAACGTGAAACTTTGCATGCTGCTACTTTGTGTTACCCTGGCTAGGGTTCTATGAGACTGACATCATATCTGGAAAAACATAGTCAACATTGCCCAAGTAAATTTTAGTCTTAGTATTGGCCGTATTGAGAAAACTTAACAGGCCTGTACCTAAAGGCATTGTAGCCAAAATAGCAATGTTGAGGCTTCTTGCAGAATACAGCTTGGAACCTGCAGATTACCACTTGCGGTTATATTTAAGTATTTTTTAATTAATTTCTCCTGCAGGTGAGTCACTTCCACTGGCAACCTCCAACCAGATCCTCATCCGTTTCACCTCTAAAGGACAGTCCACCTCCAGAGGCTTCCACCTTGTCTACCAAGGTACTACTAGAAAACTAGTCTCTCTGTTGTGCACTGCCTGCTTTTATTACAGCTAACAGATTTACACCTTTATCGTAGTTACCACCCACAGCCTGGAGATACTCATCACCATTCGTTTATAGGACTGCAGTCCCTAAAGTGAGAAAGGAGCTGAATTATTTAAACATGCTCACGTACCTACACACACACACACACACACAGATTAACAAATGACACAGTGAATGTGGTGCACCTTAGTGGCTGCTGTGGGGCTTCCCTCACAGCATGTCCTGACTTTCTATCTCTATAATAGATGACCTGGCTTTTAGGAGCTGAGGTGGTATTATTTTGCCGTTTCACCTCCCCAGCCTGCTGTAGTCATGTGCCTACACATTTCCAATCATTTCCTTAATGGAAAAGTACAGCAAGGTGTATCAGTGTTTAAACGGTGTTGTTCTGGTTCATATTCAGCCCTGCTGTGGTTTTACCTCAACGTCATTAAGTCTGATTAACACTCTGGGGAAAGTATAGACAGCTCCATAGTGCCAGAGACTTAAATGTGTGAATTAGAATACTTAAGTCTGTCATGAATTAAATTTACATTTAATTTACAGTCTGTATTTAACAGTTGCAGTTCTGACATTGTTCTGCTTGGTTCAATGCCAAGAAATGACCAAAAAAATCACAATAAAATGTTAGGTTTACATATCTAAACCTATGTAAAAATTTATTGAGGCTTATTCCCAAAAGCATCAGGTGAGGTAATATAACATCAAACTTGACGAAGGCATGACACTTGCTAGAATAAAGGTTGTCAATTGAGGCTTATGTAAACGTTGTTATGTTACACGTTATGCAAAAATGTAGCTTTACGTATGCTGCTCTTTTTTTTCTACTAAGATATCAACTGATACTTTTGAATTAGCACAGAATTTATCTGCTCATTTCAATAAGCCATGAGTAAGAAAAGAATTACGGGTCATTTGTAGCGTATACACAGTAGGGTAAGGTTAAATATAAAGGTTAAATATTGGCGAATGCATGTGCTGAGGATTGTAAATCTTAACATATTAAGCCTTTCACTATAGACCAATAGACTGTGAAGTTATCTAATGCTAATTTGACTTTCTCTCACTTCTGTTAGCCGTCCCTAGAACCAGCGCAACTCAGTGCAGCTCAGTCCCGGAGCCCAGGCATGGGAGGCGCACAGGGAACAACTTTGCAGTGGGGGCTGTGGTGCGTTTCGAGTGTAACGCGGGATACGTGCTGGAGGGCCCCAGTGCTATCGAGTGCCTGACGGTCCCCAATGCTCTGGCTCAGTGGAACAGCACCATCCCCAGCTGCATTGGTGAGAAAGCCCCCTCTGGGGCTGCAGCATTTTCATCCTCACTGCACACATATACTGCCACAGGCACTACAACTCAGCTAGACGTCTTACTGAATTTACAGCATTTCGTGTCCTTTGAATGTCTTCAGTGTATGTTCTGAGCTCTACATGTCCACAGTGTTAAATGTGTAATGCGCAGTCCTGTCTTTCTTAGAAATAAGCATAAGAAGATCTGCTTTGTTCAGTGATATGAACACAGAATAGGAATTATTTATCAGCCATGTCTGTTTTCACATTCAGGTCCACCAGTGATATATAAGTCAAGGACAAATAAGGTTTTCAAAATACTACATTTTTATAAAGCACATTTCTTGCAAAAAAAACTTACATCTCCATTTTTATTTTTACCTCTTTGCATAATTTGAAAACTTCAATTGCTATTTACATTGTGTTAAATTTCATGGTGAACAGTCCAATAGAAATGGTCCAAACTTACTTTCTTGTTGCCTTTACTTCTGTTGTACATTAAAAATGTTTTTGCTTTTGCTCTAAAATTACCATTTTGGAGATATGAGGTTTTGTTTAGACAGCGATGATATGATGGGCATTTCTGCCGATATATATATATTACACACCAGTGCTGAAAATGTGTATAAAGTAGTCTTTTGGACATCCGTGGACACCCATATAAACTTTGTTTATATGCTTATACATCCATTTAAAAATAATACATTTTATTATGGGGTTTATATGGTACGCTGTAAACTGAAGCAGTCTGGATATGAGTCAAAATGAATATTTTTATATTTCTGAAAGGGCTATTGACCTTGGTATTAAACCATGAGGGTCACTTGGGGTCTTCTTTATGCAGCAGTACCCTGTCCATTCTTTCAGTTGTGCCACATGACATTTGAGGAAATCAGAAATTATGGACAGAAGTTGTTTCAATGATTTAAATACTTTTAAAGCTACCCTGTTTTTCAACATTGTTGTTATGTGAAATGTTATGATTTTAAACTTTTCAATCATAAAACCGTGCCAAATTATTTTATTTCGAATTCAATATGACTGAATTAACTTTTTTAGTAGTATTAAATCTGGGTATGTGGTTAAATGGTCAAACTACCTGACATTTATACACTTTGGGGGTAATAAATCCTTAAAAGCAGCCTCATTTTGATATGCTTTGATGCACACAAAATAAGTATTATTAGGGAAATAATGGACTTGGACACAAAAATGCACATCATGTCATTGGCGCGTACATTTCACAACAACAGACAAAACAAGCAAGAAGCATGGCTGCAATCTCCTTGGATTTCCATGAACTGAAGTAGTGCATGAATGCTGTATGTTAGTCTTTTATCTTCCTCTGCATCTGCTTTCTGTACTGCTTGTACCTGAGAGGGTTAGAGATGTGCAGCACTTTAGCTGGCAGATTGTTTCACGCTGGTGCTCTGGTGGAGCTCCTAGAGGAGAGCGATGGTAAATAGGCTGGAGTGTTCTCCTCCTGAGAGGGACCTGTCTTGCATGCCTTCTCCTGCCTGCCTAACAAGCAGCGGCACACAGATGTGGGCCAGCAGCCATGGCCTCCAGTGCTATACACACACAGACTCATGCAGATGCTGCTGCAGGTACGCTGTGCAGTGGCCTGCACACACACTCACAACACAGATGCTACAGATGCTTACCTGTGCGCTCCACTGCAGCCACCAGATGTTTGGCCACTCGAGCTCCTGCAGAGACGGAGTCCAGGAACATAAAAAACTGTAGATCCCTGAAGGGGGGAGTATGTGTGTTTTAGAAGATATATTGTGATGTGTCATTCTGATATGGCAGATCATCTGCATCGATTTTGGTATGTTAAAATCAGTTATCGATTTGAATATTATTTAATAAACTATGTGGTTGTTTTTGTCTCAGATAAAAGTTTCAAGTAGATCCTCCAGTCACATTTGTATATGTTTAAGGATAGGGGACATAGTACCTATTTATGAATTTGTTTGTTTGTTTGTTTGCATGTTTTGCCTGTGAAATAAAATGCTTGAGCATGACTGTTGTGCCTGTGACTTACTATTTGAAGGTAGTCTGATAGTATCTCATGGCTGTGAATTATAAACTTTAGAGAATGCATTCTGTAAATAGAGGCCATGATATTCTCAAAAGGTGAAGAAGGTGATGTTTTTTCCCTCCTTTCCTGTTTCTGGCAGCACTATGTCAAGATTTTGACATCGTATCTTGAAATAATCCCTTATTTTCTTAAATTATTTGAGTATCTCAAAATAATAACTTACTTTCTCAGAATATTGACTTAGTATTTCAAAGTAATTACTTGTTTTCTCCAAATTTTGAGATAATAATTTATCAAAATAGTGACTTGGTTTCACTAAATAGTGGCTTACATTTTCAAAGCTTTGACGTAGCAACTCTAAATAATGGCATATTTTCTTGAAATACTAACTTGGTATCTCAAAATAATGTTGTTACTAAAAGTTACAATAAGGCTATTTTTCTACATAGTCAGTCACAACCTGAAACCTTTTGAGATTAGAAAGGTGATCATTTTTTTAGTTTTTTTTTTTTATTTATTTTGGTTTTTTTTGGTAAGCATGTGGTCAAATCCCCTAAAAATATTAACTCATGATCACAAAAACTCAGGGCTGTGTCTTACTAATTTCATAGTGTATGACTTAAGGATATTTTGGCTAATATTTTATTACATGGACATGAAATACAAATAAATAAATAGAATTTTCATCCTTGCTCCCACTTTTCCTCAATAAAATTCAGTGTACTTCTGAATTCTGATTATTCCAAAATAATTTTCATGATGTGCTGAATAACTTACTAAAGAATTGAAATACCTGCTCAGAGATGTACACTTCTAATGTGTATTGCTGTGTGTGACCATTTGTTCTGTCTTTCTGTCTTCTCCGCTGTACTGCAGTACCATGTGGGGGGAATCTGACCCAGCGCACAGGCACCATCCTGTCTCCTGGATACCCTGAGCCCTACCTGAACAGTCTGAGCTGTGTGTGGAAAATCACCGTGCCTGAAGGTTCAGGAATACAGGTACATTACTTTTCAAAGCACAATACACCTTACCCTTTCTTTCCCTCAGCTTTGTTATGAGCATGACACAGCAAATAAGACTCTTTTTCAGTCTGTAGTTTGACATTTCTTGGTCTTTTAAGTTCTGTCAGTGAAGGGTTATTAACAAGTCTGATGTACTTCCAAGTTGTTTCCTTTTTACTGTGTCAATTTTTTACTTCAGTGCAGGCTATGAAAGTTTAGAATCTCATGGACAAGATAGAAATGCCCTCCATTCTGGGATTTTGACCAGTATCTCTATGGCCCTTAATTCCTGCCGTCATGCCTCATAACTCTGTCCAATATTACCTTCCTGGCACATCCAAAGCTTGGCTATAAAGAGTTCTCTGAGCTTTCTTGGCAGCTATTGTGGAATCATTTATCCCTTCCACAAAACATTTACTCCCTCGCCTGGATTAAGTATATTGTTCATTTTGCCTCATGTAACCAGTGCAGATGTGGCCTTTAGTTTAGACAAGCTATGGTACATCAACTGTCCATAGCTCTGATAATAATAATAATAAAAAAGTTGAGCAGACATTTGCCCCTGTTGCTCGTAAAATGCTGCAGAACTTTGTTTTAAGCCAGGACTGAAGTTCCAGTGTGGAACTAAACTTGGTCCCTGAGGAACGCCCACTCGGACCCAGAGGCACTCACTCTCTTTAACTTTATTTTGAATACATCTGATAGTTTAATAAGAAAAAAACTCATTTGCATTTGTTGTTTACTACAACTTTATGTCTGTAAAAAGCTGTTCTGTCCTCTGTATGAAAGTTTGAATTAATAATGTTCTATAAAAATAAGTTATTGTAAGCCCTTTCCTTGTGTTGGTTTATTGTAAGCATTTACACATTATAATCCTCCTACCAACTGACATCAAGATTGCACCTTAAATTTGATGCATATATTGGTACGTTCTGTAACTGCTATACAGTTATTTTCGACATGACACTTTTGGTAGAAAAAACTACTTGTTACTTGTAGTTTCACATTTCACTTAGTGTAATATTGCAACAGAGGAGGCATTGAGGTAGGTAAGTTTATTTGAGTCAAGGTTAAGAGAGTCAATAAAGTAAGTAGTGGTGGCAAACAATGTAGAGTAGCTAGAAAACAGACATAAAGCCACAACATTGCAGGACTAAGGACAAGGTAAATGAAGCAGTAATATATACATGGATAAGGAACTTGGAACAGCTAGGACTAATGAGAACAGGAGAGAATACAAACAAGTCACAGGTGAGAGGCATGATAAAAGGGCTGAGCTAAGGTAGAGCAAGACTAACCAAAACAAACAAAGCCAGGACTAGGAAAGAAAACAAGAGGGGCAGTCTTAGACTAAGGACTGGAAACCAGACATTACAAAAACCATTAAAAAACAATACTGATGTTCAAATAAAAATGCAGTGCCACCCCTCCAACTATGTCTTCCTCTGTTCCAACTGTTCAGTTTTTAGAATTACTGTCTTACCAGCACCTGTTGCTCACTTATACTTCATCACTGTCAAATCAAAATCATGTAATACCATTTTAATTCCATTTTTACACCATTTTGAGACAGTTGTAATAGTAAGTCCAGAATTACTTGGAGTCAACTCTAATTAGTCGTCTCTGGAAAGTCTTGCCATTCTTGTTGTCCCCTGTGTGGTTTTTGGGTGCTGATGCTGGCTGCTGTTTTGCCTCAGATATTCTGCTGGCTGTTGTCTGACCTCATGCCTGTTTGTTCCAGTTTTCTTATGATTCTTCCAGTTGTAGTAAATACTTCATGCTCATACATCCAACCAACCTACCTCATCATTACATGCAGACAGCAACTGCTGGAGTCTGAAAGGCAACTCTTTACAAACATAAGGCGAGATGATGACATAAATCTTGTTTTCCTCTTGCAAACCATGGGATTTGACTGTCTGTCACAATTTCTAATGAATTGTTTCCTAATAACTGCCTACGTTCTGCTATAAGTCATAACAATTTAGTACATATTTTACAGTTGTGTTTTTCAGCAAAGCTTTAAAGCTGAAAAAAGAAGGACCAGCTCGATGTTTAGGTCTCAAATGTGAAGTGAACGTTATGCTGATGAAGATGCTGACAACAGTACATAATTGACTTACATCCTTAGAAGTCGTTCACCAACTTTTGACAGACTCTTTCTTGAATATTCTTTCTTCGTGTTTGCAGTAGAGATTCATCCGTGTTTGCAATCAGATTCATCCATACAAGAAAGGGGTCCAAAGCACAACTGATGTTACAAAATTACTTTTTTCCACCAAAGAGGGCTCCAAATCCCCAGGTCTTACATAGTGTAGGTTTAATTACATTTTTCCTTATTCTTAAGTATGCAGTTTTTAAGAAATATAAGTAGTCTACACTACAAGACAGATAAATTGTTATCAAAAAGCATGTTACAAATAATCACACCATCCATATCTTTGCAGTCAACAGCCCAGCAAGTCTATGGAATTAAACTTAAGCATATGAACAGCTTGTCTGGGTATCCATGTGGAACTGAATGTATGTTTAGGGCTACTGCTCCATCAGCCTCCAATACTGTTCATATCTAACAGGATAAAAAGTAGAACCCATGTAGAATCCATGTCTCTGAGTGAGGGGGATAAAGACTGATGTGGAGTGAGGGGTTAAGAAGCGAGATAGATTGAAAGAGAGATTTTTTTTTTTCTTTTAGAGACTGATGGAGAGTAAGTTAGAGTGAGTGGCAGAGATGGATGAGGGATAATACAGGAAAGGTAAAGAAGGTCATCTGTGCACTACTTGATCTCTCCTTTCCGTTACAACTAGTCACAAACATGTAATGCTGAATGGACCATTTGATTTGTGACTGCAGAAGACGAGGCGATTCAAATGTTACTGCTTGCTCTGAGAAACAGACTGTGGATACTGTTACGGTAGTACGAAGAGCGGTTAACCTTTCTTTGACAAAGAATGTTTTACCATCTAAGAAGTCTTTTGCATTGTAATTTGAAAGTGTGTATTGATTGTGCGCATTTCATAGGCATAGTCTATCTGCTGAAGTAGCTCATCTGAATAAAGCATTTTTATTTATTTGTTGTTTTTTTTTTCTCTCTGAAGTTGCTGAACATAGAAGAAGAAGCTAAGAGCAGAATGAGTAAAGTAGAAAGAAGGAGAAGAAAGACTTTAATTGCATGTATAGATTTGCTTAGGGTTTCTGCTTTTAGTTTGTGTCAGGCAGACTGCAGTAAAAACCTTCACATAGAATTCCCTTCACCTTCCGAAGAGTTCCAATTCAGCGTGTGTGGCAAGCACAAATAAACGTAGCATTTGACTGCAGGGCTATCAGACGTGACAATCTCCCAGTGATAGCCACAGCCATACCACTGTGACCGTCCAATTTTTCAGGCTGTTTGAGAGTGAGGCAAAAATAGATACCTGCCATAATATTTACTGGCTTGCACATTGACAAACGCAGTGGAAAAAGAGGCTTCTACAGAGCTTATAGACTGCAGAAAGTTTGAAGAAGAGGGAATCTGATTTTAAGAGCTGAGGGGAGGTGTTGTGGAGCACTAAATATGGAGTTTAAAGTTTCTGTCTATCAATATACCAAAAAACTTTACTCTATACTGAGTGCTGATTCACATTCAGACTCAGTGGTTGTCTCTCCATGCCAACCAAACCTTACTGTTTTCTATTGTCTGTCCCAGATCCAGGTGATCAGCTTTGTGACTGAGCAGAACTGGGACTCTCTGGAGGTGTTTGATGGGGGCGACAACACAGACACCATGCTGGGCAGCTTCTCAGGTGGGCTGCCCTCTCCCCATGCCAGATGACTCATGCATTTTTTTTTAGGTACTTTGAACACCCCTCCTATGGAAGCTGAAGTGAGTTACCGGCCTAGTTTCTAAGTTTGAGTATCTTTTTTTTGTTTGTTTGTTTGATTGTGGGTTTCAGAACGTCAAATTGCCTGGAAAAATTCAGCTGCATTCTAAAAAGGTTACGATGCCTTGTTTACAGATAAGGTGCAGCTATACTATGATGTCTCTGGGTTGCTTTTGTCATGAGTAAGTGTCAATGTGGAGGTTGTTGTTTTCCTTCTCTGCTGGAACAGCACCAAGCACAAATGTTACAAGTGCCCTAGAGAGAGATGGGTGAATAATAAATCTGCAATTAATAAATTACTGCAGTCTTAAGACCTTCTTGCACTTCAGATGAAGTGTGTACAGCCTGCCCTCAGGCTCTACAGGGGATAGGCTTGGTTAACTCCTGGGCTTCCAGCCAAGCTGTATAGATTGTGGATCACGTTCGAATATATATAAATGTATGTGTGCAGAGATATTATGAAAACACTTTTCTGTGCTTTTTTGTTTAACACCACTTAAAAGCACCCTGCCCCGTGTGAACATTTCATTACAAATGGATCAACAGAAATGGTCCAAAATTTCACTTTACTAGTTATTATTTCTTTGCATTATTGTTTTTCCTTCCAGTATTCTGTACAGTATTTTCCTTCAATTTGGGGATGCCAAACAATTAGACAGTATGCAAAATGACAAAATCTGTAAAACGATGAGAAAGTGCTGCAAAGCAAAAGCTTAATGTAAGCACTTAGCAATTTCCATCTGTATCTTCAGTTGTTATTAATATCATGAACATAACAGAGTTATAGATCCATGTTTTCTGTGTAGCATTATGAGAATGCTTTATGCTGTCGTTAGAGGCAGTGCCTTTAAGTGTCTTTTAAGTCTTTCTCTTGGTGCTGTTTTCTTTTTTCTGCAGGTACCTCAGTTCCTGCGCTCTTGAACAGCACCTCCAACCAGCTCTACCTGCACTTCTTCTCTGATATAAGTGTGTCTGCAGCTGGCTTTAGGCTGGAGTACAAGAGTAAGTGCAGGGAGTTGCTGTCTATTTTACTCCTGTCTGTTAATCATGCGATTTCTCAATGCAGATGTTACTTGTTGCATTTATTTGATATGTAAAGAGTGTAATCTAACAAAACTGAAAATCCATCACCCGTCTAAGCGTTGGCCCTAGAATCAGGGATCATGAATTCGGTCCCGGGTGATGCTACAGCCATCCGTGGCCGGGAGTCCAAGAGAGCACAATTGGCCTCGCTCTCTGGGTGGGTAGGATAGCCCCCCCGTCTCCCCCCATGACTGACGTAACAGATCTGGCAGTTGGCACTTTCCTTCGAGCGTGTTCAGTTGACCAGTGACGTTGTGTTAGCAGCATTTCGAAAAGATGTGGTGGCACTTCACTGGTCTCAGAGGAACCCTGTGCTAGCCTTCGCCCTCCTGGCGCTGGTTATATCGTGTGATTGGGGGAGTCTTAACTAGTGGGTGGAGTTGGACATGACTAAATTGGGGAGAAAATTGGGGAAAGAAATCCCCCCCCCAAAAAATGAATAAATGAGCTTGCTGGTTCACTCTGTGTATCTGACAGTGTGCCTCCAAAAATAATTCTGTGCTCCAACAATAAAGGTAAATTTGCACATCTGTTATACAGTGACAGAACTATGACTGCACAGACAGCACTGATTCTACACGCTGATACGATTCACTCTGGCCAACTTAGACGTGCACATTCTGTACCTCCTGTGGCAGCAGATTTAAATGAATGCCACGTTCACAGAATAGATTGCTGGTGTGGCACTGGGTTCAATAGGGTTAATGGTAACAACTGTTTTAACAATGACATTGTGCATAGGCTGTCTTTGAGTCTTTGATTGATAATGGACAATGAACTGTGTTTCAGTTGTTGGGTAATTAGTGACAAATCTTTAATTTTTTGAGTCTTTGAAATGTTTGATATACAGTTTTGGAAACAGTCATGCCTCCACTTTCCAGTTAAACATTTGTTACATAGAATAAACAAATGTCAAGAGAGAATCTCTTGGTGGTCAATAAAATACCTGGTATGACTGCCAGCTGTTCAATATACTTATTGATTGGTAGATTGAGTAATTGATTGACTGCACTTGCCTAACTGTGTACCGCTTATGTTAATCCATTGATTTTAAAGATCAGTTGGCATGTTTTTCTCTTTTCTGACCTTCTCTTTTCTCTGTTCATCTCTCAGCGGTGTCCCTCACAAGCTGTCCTGAACCAATTATACCTATGAATGGGTTCAAAGTGGGCGAGCGTTTACAGATGAACAATGTCGTGTCCTTCCAGTGTGATCCTGGATATACTCTACAGGTAAGCCTGCTTCATGTTTGGCCAACATAACTACTCAGTGCATAAAAAACTAGTCTCTGAAGCTGTCTGTGACACTCTGATGCTTTGAGGGCTTGGCTTTGAGTCTCACTTCTAAGAGGTTATGGCCAAAAAGGAGATCAAAGTGCAGTTCGGAGTGCGCTATGAAAGAGGCGTGAACTACAAAGCTCGAGAAGCTAAAGAGAAGAGGCAGAACTGAGGAAATATTGAATGAATGAACAAATCAATCAATCAGTGAATTAATGAATTTTATTTCCTCTTTTTATTTCCAATTGCAGGGAGTGTCGCACATCACCTGCATGCCAGGAACTGTGCGGCGTTGGAATTACCCTCCACCACTCTGCATTGGTACGAAGCTTTCTGTGTCGCATGGAGCTTTCCATACACTTTCCCACTAACTTGACAAACAGCATTCTTTGAATGTGCATTTTGTGAATATGTGAATAAGGTAGTTAATAAGTTACCGAGGCTTAATAAAAGCTGGTCCCTCTACTTTGTAAACAGGCAGAGCTGCAAGATCTAGCAATTTAATTTAGCAATATAAACTTTGGTGGCATTGGCATTATTGATGCAGCATGCACTGCCAGTGCTACAAACCAGTATTCATGCAAACAGTGTTTACAGTTTTGTACCTACACGGCTTCAGAATTCAAGTGTTGTATCTCCTGAAACAAGAAATGGATTCAGGGTTGTTTGGCCACTTTCTTTTTGGTTAAAATGGAACCCATCCATTAGTTGATGAGTGCTCAGTTCCACAGTGACTGGCATGTCATTAAGATGCCCTCAAGGCTACTCATCTCTCAGTCTACTCTCATGTGGTGCCCTCTCACGCTGCAATAACAACATCAAGGCCTTGCGCAACAGTAAATACTGATCAAACCATGGCCGCAGATTCAGTCCCACGGCACTGCATGAACGAGTGTGTGTGTGTATTAAACAGAGTGAAAGGGTGAGGTAGAAAGACTAGCCCACAATCACTGAGCATGGCTCTTGACAAACATGAATAATGACTGTGACCTACTCTATCCTAATTAGTTCCGTCTCATGCTACGATTGGCGGAACTACCGGGGAGATTCATGGCTTGTACCGGCATCAGCAGTTTCCTGATTGCCCCTGATTGTCCAGACACACAGTACATTTTGAACCTTTCCGCTCTCCGTTGGGGATCTGGGCCTTTGTAGGGCTGTGTTCACAGAGCCTTGCCAAGGCTTTAATCAAAGTGACGTTGGAATCAATCAGTGGGTTAGGCTTGGAGCTCTGTAGGCTGAGAGAGAAGAGCGTGAGAAGGTGTGCATTTCTCCCAAAAAGAAAAGGGGAAGCGCTTTTGAAATCGAAAGCTAGAAAGCTACTTGAGGCCTTTGATGCTTCTGAAAGGTCAATTGGGCCCTCTTCATAAATGAAAGTCATGTTCCCTTTATATTATCAACAGGGGGAGAATGTATTACACTGCTTTCTACTCAAAAATGCTTTTAGTGGCAGGCCGGGTATGAAGCCTCCTCAACGGCAAGAGGTTACTTCAAACTAGTGAGCTAAATGTACATGCAGCCACTACATGGCTGCAAAATATGTCTTATGCTTGTTCTGAATAACCAGGGAAAGACATTGTTGTGGCCGTATAGTAATGCATTTTTCTTTGTTGTCCTTTTTTCATGCAGCACAATGTGGTGGGATCAGAGAAGAGATGGAAGGAACCATCCTGAGCCCTGGTTTCCCAGGAAACTACCCTAGCAACAGTGACTGCACTTGGAGGATCTACCTCCCAGTCGGCTATGGTGAGGAAACAGCTACTAAAAAAAAGTGTGAAGGCAATCTTGTCAGAAATGGAATCGTGAATCTTGCAAGAAATAGAGCTGATAGTTATAAAAATGCTAATAATCTCCTTATTTTTCATTTAAACAGGAGCCCACATTCAGTTTCTCAATTTCTCAACTGAGGCCAATCATGACTTCCTGGAAATCCGGAACGGCCCTTTCGACACCAGCACTGTGATTGGCAGATTCAGTGGGCAGGATGTGCCAGCGTCTCTTCTGACCACATCCCATGAAACCACAGTGTATTTCCATAGTGACCACTCTCAGAACAAACCAGGATTCAGATTTGATTACCAAGGTAAAGACGTGTGGCTCAGTGGGTTTAATTAGCAATTAACATTGCATCATAATTTTAAAAAATAATAAAAACACAATGTTGAAATAACATTTAGCAGTATTTCATCAAAGCAAATAGCATTTTAAATATTGCAGTTCATGTCTCTCTGAGCACAGCTTTATATAAAGTACTTAATTGAATGCCTTAGTAATTAAGATGCCTTGCCCAGTCAGTCAGTCACTAAGCACGGTAATAGGTCTGCGCCTAGAAAGATGTATATGAAGTTGGTCAGGTGGAGGAACTGCTTCTGTCAGTTATATATTCCCAGGGTGCTGTGCCGTATAAGTGTGTCTGTGAAATTAAACTTTATCTCTGAAAAGGCAACCGTAATAGGTGCTGGAATTTATATTGTAATTCAATAAACGTTTGTGAAATTGAAATGCACTATCAGTATTTACATAATTATGTGAACATTAGCATATAAATCATGCCTTATATTCAGTGCTGCACTCTTATGCTGTGCCTGCATGCTTTGTTTCTCACAAAAGATGCTGTGATCCATAGAAATCAATTCTTCTAGTCAGATTTATATCCCTGGGCTGCCTGCATCCCTGGATCTTTGCTTACTTTCTGTAGTATTTGGAAAGGATTTTGGTGGAGGGGCAGTGACTGTTTCAATCAGACGCAAGAATCAGATCAGCTTCTGGCAAATTTGTCTTCAAACGTTTTCGAAGAGTCAGATATGGGATGGATGGACTGACAGATAGAAAACCAGAAAGGACACTTGACGAGTGCTCTGAGTGTCTACAGTAATATTTTCAGTCTCCAAAAATGAACAATGACAACTTGCCAGAATTGAGAGATAGCCATGGCCTCCATTTTGAAAGCTTTGCTAAGAGAAAACAACTTTTTTGTTTCTCTACAGACATGCAGTAGTCAATATTTGAATTAGACGTGTAGTTGTAGTCCAGTTATGTTGTGTTAGGTGGTCTTATTATTCCCAGAGTCACTTTTCAGAGCTTATGTTTGAAGCTGTTCTTTCCCACTGCTCCAAGCTCTTCAAATGCCTCAGTCAAAAGTAGCCTATGTGAAACCTTTGAACTGAATCAAACTTTTGAAAGGTATAAAACTTCCTGTTCTCTCAGTCCTTTTCGGCTTATCAAAAACAGACATCCGCTCTCTCTGGTTCCAGGACTCCTATCGATTGGGATTGCAATCACAAAAAACATTATTACAGGCAGCAGTCCAATCTCTAACTCTGACAAGCAGTGTTTTTGATGGGCTTCTGAGATTGGTTTTGTGTCTGCCTGTCTTTGTCCCTCAGCCTATGAGCTCCAAGAATGTCCAGACCCTGAACCCTTTCGCCACGGTGTGGTGGTCGGTGCCGGGTACAACGTAGGACAGTCCATCTCCTTCGAGTGCTACCCAGGATACCAGCTTATGGGACAGTCGATTTTAACCTGCCAGCATGGCACAACCCGCAACTGGGATCACCCTTTTCCTCGCTGTGAAGGTACGACCTGTTCATTTCTTTTTGGTTGTGGTCATTTTGATCAGACTTGCTTTTCAAAAAGGAGTTCAGTCTGAAGGCCCATGTGATAGAAAAATGATTTGTCTTTGATTATTTGATAAATAATTTGATGTAAAAATGGTTGAAGTTTAAAATGTACATTTCACTGCCTAGTCCAAAAACAGGCAGTTTTGAATTTGTTATGATTGTGATGCCACATCAATGAATGCATTATAATATGACCACACATTAAGCCTACAGCAGTGTAGCTTAACGAAGTGATAAGGAGTGTTGTTACCGCAGACAGTCTTAGTTACTGAATCATAAGGTTGATTGAAACATTGTGCTGTTCCTGCCTGTCAGAAAGCAAGTGTCATATCCAAAAGAAGTGACTGAAATTGATATATTTTTATGTCCCTGAAGATTTCAGTCCAAACCTGGTTTTTCTGTTCATTTTAGCTCAGGCTGCTGGCCTAGCTTGGTATGCCTCATTTTACTTGTCAAGGGGTCAGATGCCAAAACTAGATGCAGTGCAATCAGAACAGTACGGAAGTCTGGAGAGGCCATGAGCTGTCACTATAATTTTCTGGATTGTTATGTTGAGATAACAAGTTAATTATCTTCTGATCTCAAGATAACAACTTTGTTATCTTGAGAACACAAGACAATGAACTTGTTATCTCAAGACAACAACTTTGTTATCTTGAGAACACAAGATAATTAACTTGTTATCTTAAGACAACTTTATCTTGAGATCACAAGATAATTAACTCATTGTCTCAAGACAACAACTTTTGTTATTTTGAGATAACAAGATATTTAACTCGTCATCTCAAGTTAACAACTTTTTGTATCTTGAGATAACAAGATAATTTACTTGATATCTCAAGATAACAGTTCACAAAGTTATAGCTACCTCATTGCCTCTCTGGACCTAGAATGTAGAACAGAAGATACTTGTGTACATCAGTTTTTAATGCAGAGTAACAAAAACAGGTTGTTTAATTCTAAGGCATAAACAGAGGTTGGAAAATGGCCATGTAAAAAGCAAAAAACTGTTGAAAATCAGCCCTTTAGCCAGTTCAGTTCATTTCAGCTGTTTTTCAGATTTGGACCAAAATAGAACCTAGTTAATTCATGCCACACTGCTGAAATGTTACATATTCGGCGCTAGAGGGCTTAACTGTTACCAAGCAAAGTTTAAGACATTCTGAATCTCAGCATTTACTTCTCACATATTTTTTTCTGCTCTGTGTTTTAGCTCTGAGCTATGTGGAGGCAAAACAATGTTCAAGATGAACTATGCAAATATATTCACTTAAACCACCTGAATGAGCCCATGTGTTCTCTCACGCTTAGGGCATCACACAATCAATACTTTCTGAAAGGCATGACGGAGGGTAGAGGAAGAGAAATGGGCCCTCATTCATATGCCTGATCCTTGGCCCAATTCTTCCACTCATTTTCTGTTGCTTCAATACAACAAGTAAAATAAACAGTGAGTCATGTGGCACGAGCGTGGGAGCCTGTGAATGGGCACAGGGGAGAAAAGATGTTTGGGGACGCACTCAGTGTGTCGGAGAGTGTTTTCTCCTCCATTCAGGTTGCTGGGCTTTAGAGCATGGTCGTGTTAGTTAGCATAACTGAAGAGAATTGTGCAAACAATACACGCATACCCTTGGTCGTGCAAGAAAAATGTTGCTTTGCATAAAATTTTGTGCCATGCTCTGATCGTTTTAACCACCCTACTGCCAACATGAAGCATGACACGAAGGCATAAATGCATCCTAGGACAAGACAGAGGCTGCTGTAAATGCAAGTGAACCTGCTCCTCTGAGAAGCCCTGAGCTCTGCAGAACGTTAGTGTTAGGAAACCTGCCTGGAATGTGAAAGAATCCAGCCTTTAAATTTAGAAGATGAAAAATCTGTGGTCTCTTTGCCACCAAAACGCATTTAGGGGTTTGAAGCAGTTTAGGTTTGCAGCACAAACCACCTAGATATTTGTGGAGTCTCCACCTACTTTTAATTCAGCAAAATTCAGAGGAAGCCTGATGCATTTAACTGCAAGTATTTTCTGTAAATAACTTGCCAAACCATATGGAGTTCCACAGTTGTCATTTTGTTGCTGTCTGACTGTCAAAATGGTAGAATTTTGGTCAAGACTGGTTGACAAAGTATGTACAGCTGAAGTGTCAGCCAGTAATGAGATACTGGTGCTTGACCTCAGGGCATGGAATGACCCAGGGTTGGACAGCAACAGAAAGGCTTCAAAGACAAATTGTTTCAGTTTCCATATACAGAGTATAAGGCCAGATCTCTGTCCAGCAAGGGTAGATTTCCAACAGGTGGACAGACAGACAATTGGACAGTGCTAATGGTGGCACCCTGTTGTATTGCCAGTATGGTCCTCTACTTTTGGTTATTCATTATTTCCATCATTTATTCACCAAGCATTTCACAGAGATGGCAGCACGCCTTCTTTTATTAGCTGTCCAGCTCATGTTGTCTGATTATCAAAGCCAAATGCCAAAACTAGATGGAGTGCAGTTGATAATCTATAGTGGTGCCAAATTGCATTAGTAATATGGTCATTTGCCTTGGCTTATGAGAACCAAGAGTCCAAGCATTGGATCATCATTAAACTCATGGTGAAGCTGCGGCCACCCAACTGATGCTACAGTCTAATCATTTGCCTTGTTGCTGGGTGCGAGATGATGCCACAGTCATCCTTGGCTGTGAGTCCAAGACAGCATAACTGTTCTCGCTCTCTCTGGGTATGTATGATGGTCCTCCCTCTCCCCCCATCTCTCAGGACAGTGCTAGCCAATACAGGTGTTGGTTAGCTGATGTAACAGAATTGGAAGTTCTCCTCCAAGCATGTGTTGAGTTTTACAATGATATATTCATGTCTCAAAGGAAGCATGTGCTACTAGTTTGGTAGTATTGCATAATATGAGGAGACCTAAGTAGCATGCAAAAAAAGCCTTCTGGTCATGTCAACTACAGAATTCACACTGGTAAAAAAAACTGTTTACAAGATATTTAATGGTCCCTATTCTATCCCCTCAAAAATCATGGAAATGTCTATTGTGCATTTGAGTCATCCACTGGAATGAGGCTCAGCAAGGAAGTGGCTTAGCTGGATCTTGCTGAAGACCTTTTGTAGTGTGGATGATTCTTGTGTCAATATTTGACATTGCTTGTGTGTCCAAAAGAAAAAAGAGAGAAGTACGATGCACAGCACATCCAAACTGAGACAACAGCATGCTTTCACAAGCCGAAGTAGAAGGTGGCCATATTTTTATTTGGAGAAATCACTGTGAGTTGGCACAATTAGACCATTACCGTGGCTCCAGTGTTTTGCTTTGGTCTGTGAATATTGAGCGGAACCATATAATAAGTGATTAGAGAGCACTTAAGAAGTGAATGACATTTTTTGATGGTCACAGAACATCAACTGACAGCATTTCCCTCTCTCTCTCTCTTCCTCTTTCTCTCTCTCTCTGTTACTCTTTCTGAGACGTACTTTGATGAACAGGCTTTCTCATTGCCCTGCACACCCTCTATAACAGATCAAGCACAGGGCCGTGCTCTGTGTGTGAAGTCATGTACATAGATTTCCTTTCCCGTGCATTACAAGCGTGGTCAGTGTTCACCACCGCTTTCACACCTGTCTACCTCACCTGCCATAGCCCTCTTCCCCCACCTCTCTCTCCCCACTCCTCTCATGTTCTTCCTACAGTGAGTAGGTGGCCATAGTCAGTTTACTGTAGCCCTGCAACTCTGCACCGTTCTCTCTCAGTCAACACCCCCAGCTCTGCCCCGATCAATAGCATCACTGCACATTTCTGCTCGGTGGCGTGGTGTACTTTTAATCAATGTCCTGATCGATACTTCATTTAGCAGGTGAGGTGAGGGGAGAGGGCACACAGCATTAGGGATTAACAAAGAAATGAGGAGGAAGTGAAAGTGTGTGGCAAGAAGTTACGAAGGAGAGGGTGCTATAGAGGCAGTAGAGCCAGAGAGACCTTGAGTGAAAGAATGTGGTAAATGGTCAGAGAGACATGATTGTCCCATGGATGCCTAAGAGCAGGAGCAGTAATAATCCAGAACAGCGTTCCCGCATCCTTTAGTTTCCCAACTACAGTCTGTATCCCCTGTACTCTGAACAGTTTTACACTTAAGGTGTTGATTTACTGATGAGATGGTGGAGGCACACGGACAGACAATTTGGGGATACAAAGGCTCAAGAGGAAAAGAGCAATGTGAATATAAATTCAATTAATCTATACCATATTACTGACACTCTTACCAAAAGAGACAATATAATCATGTTTCTGAGGAAACCAAATGCAGTTTTAAGAGTTTTCCAAGCAGTCAAAAACATTTGTATTATTTCTCAACCAAGGATTTGAACCCCTGTCTGCAGCATACAAGGTACTCACAATGCATTACCCAATATGCTGTCTAATTAGAATTATAACTTTGTGTAGGTGCTCTGCTTATCCTGGCACAGTCCGTGATTTTAACTCTAACAAAAATTTGGAGCCGCGCAAGAAGTGGCATCTAAGAGCGCTGAAGATTGTGGAACCTGAGCTGACCCGCTAGTTCGACACACTATCCCCAAGCTGAAGCTGAGCCTTGGCTTACTGAAATGGTTCTTGAAGAGTGGTGGAGGTCATATACAGTTTTTGTACTTGCCGACGAGGAGGGCATTATACAGTCTAAGGGGAAAAAGGGCAGGGGCTCAAGCCCCTTCTGGAGTCTATTTGTATATGTGCCTGCTTAGGTGTGTTATAAACACAAAGCTATGCAGTGCAGAGATGGTTCCAGAACTGAAGTTAACTAGCTGAAACTCTCAGCATATTCATGGTGTAGGCTAACTTGGGATTTGAGCTTTTTAAGCTAACTGTTCTGAAGTAAAGCTGCCCATTATTCAAAACCTCCTCCCCCGCTCACTGTCAAGAGTTCCACTGCCTTCCAAATTCCAATTTAACCCCTGCCTATGAGTCCAGGCCAGTCTTTAATGTGCGTGCTGAATCACATTGATTATTTCCCCATGACTCCAGCAAGACTGAATCAAGCGGCGGCATGGGATCAGCAGGCGTGGGAGGGGGATTTGATTTCTGACGGACAAGGAACATTTAAATAACAAGCGATGTTGCAAAATGGCTGTGAGTTCAGAGCAGTTCCTAGTAGAGGGATTTCTAGAGTGGAGTTGCATGTGGAGTTTTGAGACAGGGAGAGGGAGTGGGAGCTCTTCGGGGAGGAGTTCGGCCATGTTCTATTACCCAACGGGTCCGTCTGTAAATCGGGTATCTGTGTCACTCCACCCCTGTCTTGGTCCCCCTGTCCTCTGTTTTCCCTGCCAGGATAAGGTTGTGCCCTTATCTTTCTGGAACATACCAACCCAGGCCGCGCTTGCTAACAGGCTTTCTTACTTAATCTTGGGCCTTGGTGAGTTGCATTAAGGAAAGAGCGGCAGAGAGAAGCTTCTTTTTTTTTCTTCTCTGATTCCCTTGGAATCTGGTTTTGTGGAATCGTTATTCATGGTCTCTCTCTTATTTATTTAATTCTGTTCTTGCCTCACAGTGCCCTGCGGAGGGAATATTACATCAGACAACGGAACTATCTTCTCTCCCGGTTACCCAGAGGACTACCCCAATTCGGTGGACTGCACGTGGCTCATCACGGTGGCCCCTGGCTTGGGTGTGCGCCTGAACTTCACTCTGATGCAAATCCATGGGCCCCATGACTTCATCACTGTATGGTGAGCTAGCTGACAGTGCCTTAAAACAATGTTTCTTACCCTGCTCATTAGGGCTCACTAGATGGCCCACATTTTTGTGCTACCTGGTTCACAGGTAGACCTGTATCAGGTATTCAGTGTCCTTAATGGATTAATGGATTGATTCAGGTGTTTTAGAATCTGGAATAGAGGAAACATGCAGACCATCTGTTGGGCTCCAAGAACTGTGTTCAGAAATGCTGCCTGTTGATGGCCCCAGACTTCAACCTTTCACTCTGGTATCTTATAACCTTATGTAGTAGTTTTATTGTGTAATTCATGATATTTATTGGCCCACTACTCTAAAGTGGTTTTCCAAGTGAAATGCACAAGTGTCTTTATAACTTTGTTGTGTTAATAATCAGAATCTCCGAGCACTCGCTTTACAGTAAAATGCTTGTCTACTTCTGACTGAATAATAGAATGGTATATGTGTTTCCCAGCCCCATGTTTATCCACAGTTTGTGCCCAGAAGTCTGGTCCAGTTTAGCTTTGTTTTTGTCACGATGACACAGAGATTTGGGTTTTTGAATGCTTATTCTTAAATGAAAATTTATTATATGTTTGATAAGCTCTTTCTGTTTCACTATTGTGTTGCAAGACTAGAAATTCTCTAAACGACTGACATTGTGTGCTCCATTTTTGCGATCTGTTATGATTTTATAAGTCATGCAATGCATTCCCAACTTAAGATCAATAACTGAGTCAAAAGACTAGAGTTTAAAAGGTTAGAACTTCTAAATTAAATTTTGCTTTTTCTCACTCACTTTAGTTAATTTTAATTAAAAAAATTAACCAATGATCAGCACAATAATCATATGGCTGCATTCTAAATCATTAAAAAATTAACTAGGTATGTGAAGTTTGTCACATTTGTTACACTGCTCTTTCTGGCTTTCACCACTCCCCTACCTTTTTTTTTCTTTACTCTCTGCCTTGATGGGTTACTGGACAAATGAGCAGCTGAACCTCTGCTCCAGGGGGTAATTCCTTGCTCTCACATGTGTCTGATGCTCTTTGCTCTGTCACTACTTTCACTCATTCTCTGAAATCAAATAGCTTTCATGTTCAGGTTGTGGAAAGTGCAGAGTGACCCTGCCATTCAAGGACATCTATATCTCTCTCTCTCTCAATCACTGTCTCTCTTTTTCTTTCAAGTTCTCTAGATCTGCCTTTTGCATTCACAGTATACAGGCCTGTATAGCAGTGCCTAAACATGCCTTCACTGTAGCAGGTTGTTGTGTTCTGAGTTAACCTAGAAGTCATTCAGTATCAGTTTGATATACTTTTTTAAATATAATTATGCAATTAAATAATTAACTACATAGTTACATACTAAATTGTATTTATATTTGCTTTATTCACATTCTGTTGACAGGCTCAATGTTTTTTCTGCTAAACTATAGCAAAATAATGCACAAAATATAATATATATATATATATATAATATATATAATATTTCATTAAATACAAATTATAATAATATGTCTTTGTGATTACAAATACAAATGTGGTATCAGTTGCAAGTTCTGAATCCACACTTTTAACAGAATTACTTTTATAAGTCGTGAACTCTTGTACTTGTTTCATTGAGCTATGAATGAGAAATAATATCAAATAACACAATGCTTTTGTTGTTCTAAATCTACCCAAGGTTGAAGAATTCTGTCCTATCTTTTCTACAGTCCGTTATGCACTTACTATGCTTATATGTAGTACCTTTTTTAATCACTTTTACACAAAACTGAGGTGCAACGTCACCTAATGGATCTTTCCCCAGTAGTGAAAGTGCTTGCTGCAGTAGCCAGGAAAAGCTCTGTCCTGGCAGCTTGGTTGCAGCTCAGCCAGCCAGCACTTACCCAGACAGCCAGCCAGCCAGGCTCTTTTCTGAATGGACAGGACAGGGTGTAATCTCTAGTGCACACTCAGACAGACGCCGACAGACGGTTTTTAAGCTGAATGGCTGTGGTTGAAATTGGTATCGGGAAGCAGCCAAATTGCCCTGGCTGCACCAGGGGACGGGCAGTCTGGGGGCATGGCCCCTAAGTGACTCCGCCTGTTCAGTGCTCACTTGCAGAAGGAGCTTTCTATGCAGTACAGGCCAGGGCTGGGACTGTGGTGGATGTGGCACGCCCTCACTCAGTACATAGTCCTTGACTGCATGATGATCAGCACAATAATCATATGGCTGCATTCTAACCTAATTTATGAAATTGCTGTATTTTAGGATTTTAGGACCGCAGTTGACTCATGTCAGTGAGTTGAACGTCTTGTGCCGGAGTAATGAGCCTAAGAGCAATGATCTCTAGAAAAGTTACAGCTCCAGTCAAAAGTTTGGACACACCTTTTTCATGAGGGGTTTGCCCTTATCTTTACTATTTATATATGCTATTATTAGCTATAGCTATTATTATTATTATTATTATTATTATTATTATAATTAGTAGTAGTAGTAGAAATTTAGGAGTGAAGACACAAATGGAATTATTCAATCTCCAAAAAAGTGTTAAACAAACTATAGACAGCACTGTGCAATAGTTAAACTTCATTTATTTAATTTCCAGTCAAGATTTAAGCTTTTAGAGCAAGTTATTTATTTGTCAGCATTAGGAAAATTAATAGAATGCATGTATTTAATAAAAACTTGCACAGAAGCCTCAACAATTTTTCAGTATTTAACCATGGTTTGCTTTCATTTAAGCTTTCTTTCTGTTCAGGAAACTTGCTTTCAGTCTTTTAAAGAAATCTGCAGGGGATATTTTTCTATACTTCCAAAATTCAGTCTTAGACGTTGGATGCATTTTCTGCTTCTCATGGTCCAAATACTCCCGAACACTTTCAATGATGTCGTGGTCTGGGTTCTGGGGTGGCCCATCCTTTCAGACTAACAGGAAAACACTCTTTCCATTTGGTACTGTAAATTGGGTGTCTCTTTTTTGTCTCCTCAGGGATGGGCCTCAAGAGACCACACGCAAGCTGGGCGTGTTCACTGAGGGCGAACCCAATGAGCCACCTAGCAGCACATCCAATCAGATCCTCATCCGTTTCCGTAGCAACTCTGAAAAAGGTGGACTCTTCAAGATCAACTATCAAGGTACTTCTGTCTTCCTGTCTTCATACATGCTAAAGCAGATCATGGCTTTACTTTATATACACTTCGGCTTTCTCTGCCTTTCTCTCCAGCCTACAGGCTCCAGTTCTGCTTACCCCCTCCCATCATCCCTAATGCAGAAATTCTGATGGCCAGCAAAGAGTTCAAAATAGGTATGTGGGAATGTGGTCCATCTCTGTCTCATACAGACACACACACATACAACCATGTGCACACAATCCGTAATATCCAGCGTCCCAGGCTGCGGCGGGCATGTGTTGTATGGATACGGTGGCCTGTGCCAATGTAAGCGGAACATTTTGAACAGAGACGCAGGCTGCCAGTTCATTTTCAGGCTTGAGCGCCTCTCATTAATAATGTTCCCAGAATAGCAGAGGCAGCCACACACATAGACACACGCACACACACATAGCTACACAACTCCCTCAGCGCTAACACACTCCCTCTTCCAGAACTCACTTTGAGGAGAGAAATCTGCTTCACCGCCAGGACAACAAGTCCCAGAGGGCTATGCTGATGTGCTCACTCATTTCCAGAGCTGCATTCCCTGTGGATCATTAGGAAAATTAACAATCAAGTTGGTTTATACAGAATTTAAAAAAGGACGTCTCATTGTGTTACAAAAAGCAACATGATTGTCTTATATTCATTACATTATTTTTTGACTAGTTTAGGTAACATTTTTAAGGTTACCCAGGTAAGTGTGTGGGACAAACTCGAAAATACAAAGTAAATATTTTAGATAACATTTGGGATGAAAAATTTGGGGAAAAACTGATTTTTCTGACCAGTATTGTGACTGTGATTTAAATTGTGATTATTTTCTATACATTAAGTCCAGGCATGTTTTTTGGCCAAGAAGACTAGCATATCCACATTTCTGGCTTAGGACTTTAATGCTGGACATGCACCAGACTGTCAGTTAGTTGTGCTTGTGTTGTAATGTACATAGCACATGAGGGTTTGGTTGCCTCTTACTGGTCTAACTCATCTGCAGGCAGTTCACAAGCTCCATGTTATTAGATCAAATTTCCCCACTTAAACCTTAAGCCAGTGTTGTTGATCATATAGACTATAATTAAAATTGCTGTCTTTCAAATAAAACAGGTTCTAGGTAGTAACTTGTAAGTGTGAGATACAAAATACTGTGTGTCTAACTAAATTGCACTGTAATGCATGTTTAAGCAGGAAATCAGTAAATATTGTAAATCAGAAAAGTCTGTAACTCTCAGGAAGTTATATAAGGTAAAAAGGCTATAAATGGCTGTTGAAGAGATAAGAGTCTTAAGTAGTATGTATCATTTCCATCACATAAAAATCAAACTGAATCTACTGAGTAGATGGGTGGTTTTACTGGATCTTTGCAATTTACTGAGAGATTTTTACACTTCCTGTTCAAACATTTCTTTGTACCTAACAACTTGTAATTAACCAATTATAAGATAATTTAATGTGCTTTATCAGCTTAATAGCTAGAACCTGTTAAGCATTCCAGTGTAATTTAGTTAGACTTGTTACTTACCTCCCTTTTATACAGAATAATTACACAGCACTTCGGAAATTATACCACACACTTAGCCAGTCAATACTCAGAACCTGTTGGGAATTTCAGTGCATTTAGTCAGACTATCTTGGAACTCTCCATCAGGTTACTTTGGAGTTTGTACAGCACACCTACTTGTTTAATGCCTCAAACTTTAGGGGCTGTAAAATCTTCTCACTCTTCTTCTGTGATTTTGCTATCCTACATGCTTTAATCTGAGTTGCAGCAGAAAAATACCTCCCCCTTCCTGAGATATTTTCCGTTTCATAAAAAATGTTCAGTTTGCATTTTTCATCATGTCCTAAAATAACACTTGCTTGCTACTTTACTGTAGAAAAACACTTTTCGTGGTGTCTGCAATTGGTCAGCCATCGTTATCGCTGGGTTTCTTAAATCCTGTATTAAGTCTGTGTCACCGCTTGGCTGGCCCTTGACGGATCCGCTGGTCTAAACTGGTCTAAGTGGCTTGCTCTGGGCCAGTGGAGAGCTGAAATGCAACATGTAATCAGGACTCGGTTGAGGTTTAAACAGTGTCTATCTCTGGCTCTAACCCACACTGATTCACTGATGTTTTGATCATTGATTATGCGCCACATTAGCTTAATTCAGTGCCTTAGCAAAGGCTGTTGTCTTTGTAGTAAACACATAACGCACACGCACACACAGCTTGTGTGAGTAATTAAGTATGCTCTGCATGTTTGTTTACTATTCCTAAGTTAAAGGCTGTGTTATAAATATGCTGCCTAAATCCAACAAAATGGTCCCATCCTTGCATGTTTGAATGTAATGATGTACAATTAGTTCATGCATTATTTAGCATGTAGTAGTGATTGTCATTGCGTGTGATTTTTTCCTATTTGCTGCATCACTGAAGCTAGATGCGTGGCTCTTTTTGAGATGCAGCCTCAGGTAGAGAGATTGACGGTACTATTAGGGTGAAAAGTGTGCCGTGCTGCTTCCTTAATTACACTGCAATGCAGCCTGGGCACGTCAACTCTTCCTTTGTCTCTTTTCCCCCCTGTATCCTTACTGTCAGCTATTAAGTCGGACAGTGAAAGGAGATGCCCTTCATCAAGCCTTGAGCGAGACGGCGGCAGAAAGTGCCGGCCACTGTTACCAGGGATATGTACACTCCAGAAAGATCTTCAATCCATTTTTGGAGTCTGTGCCCTCCATAATCTGTCATAAAGCTTGGCATGTGCCAGACCTGCATTAGAGAGAGTATTGATAAATCAATGCAGAATTTCAACACACTGGTCCTCCATTTCTCTACCCCCTCCCTCTTCCTTTCTCCCTGCCCTTCTTTTCTCATCATCTCCCCACAGGTGATATTGTGCGCTACAGGTGTTTGCCTGGGTACCACATGAGCGGGAACAACATTTTAACCTGCCGATTGGGCACACATCTTGAGTTCGAAGGACCTCCACCTTCTTGTGATGGTAAGGCTTGAGTGGTGTCTTACTTCATTACAGACAGTATTGTTTCAGTAGAGGGCCTGCTTTTTGGATGATGGTTCAATATAGCATATCTACAAATGCTCAATATGGTGAACCTGATTATCAAAAGGTTAGAGATAGGATTTGGACCAGGCTAGGGATAGGTTTAGATTTGGGTTGGAGTTAGACTGAAGTTAGAGTGAGTGTTAGGTTTAGGGTTGGGGAAAACAAAAGTGAATTTAATAGATACTTACTTGAATGTCTTAAATACAAGGTGAGCATCTACCAGGCATCTTGAGTGGACCGTTCAAAAGTACAACTACACGTTTAAGTTTGACCATGTATTACTAAGAAAATACTCTTATTTGCCTTTGATCCTGGCAGGGAAGAAGTATATGGAACATTGACCTTGATATTTCAGGTCAGAAGAATTAAATAAAAGCACAATGCTCAGTAAAAGCTGGCCAAATATGAGCACTCCAGTATGTTGGAGGTCCCCCTTCTCCTCCAGGCTACTTTTACTTGATTTCATTCTCCATTTTCCATACTCTACCTCCTCATTATACCTTTTTTCTCCTGTCCCTGTAGCAGAGCCTTAGAGCTGACTGGACTTGTGACTCAGTTAGATGAGGAGAGGGGAGTGATGTACTCACAGTGTAGCTCTCACTCAAATGCCAATTTAGAGTGCCTCTGAACAGCAGTTAAAGCACCTCGGTAGAAAAAACTCCGCTTAATTGAACTAAAATGACTTTTTCATGGTCAAGAGTACTTGTATTTAGTCTTCTGTTTAGACACACACACACACACACACTCTTATGTTCAGCGATTGGACCTCTATAGCTGTTTTCCTACTTGCAGTGTCATCTGTTCACTGCTCTTCTAAATCTATTCAATACAGTTCAGCTTGAATTATTTATACAATCTAGCCTTCATGACTAGTGCTAATATACACTGATTTATTAAGTACACCTTCCTGTATCTACACTTGTGCAATCTACAGTTGTGCATTTTAGCAGCTCCACTTATCATATAGGTGAACTCTGTAGTTCTACAGTTACAGACTGTAGTCCATCTGTTTCTCCATAGGACCACCACAGAGCAGGTATTATTTTGGTGGTGGATCATTCTCAGCCCTGCAGTGACACTGACATGGTGGTGGTAGCGTGTGCTTCTGGAGATTTTAATTACTATGTCCGCTTACTGTCCACTCTTTTAGGCACACCTATTTTGTTGGTCCACCTTGTAGATGTAGTCAGAGACAATAGCTTATCTTTTGCTGCACAGTTTGTATCACAGGCTATTCTTAGTCCAACAGTGACATTGAGGTGTCTAAAAACTCCAGCAGCACTGCTGTCTGATCCACTTGTACCAGCACAACACACACTAACACACCACCACCACGTCAGTGTCACTGCATAGCTGAGAATGATCCACCACCCAAATAATACATGCTCTGTGGTGGTCCTGTGGGGGTCCTGACAATTAAAGAACAGGGTATGCAGAGAAACAGATGAACTACAGTCTGTAATTGTAGAACTACAACGTGCACCTATGTGGTAAGTGGAGCTGATAAAATGGACAAAGAGTGTAGATACAATCACTGTGAAGTATTTTTTTTCCAAATAATCCTAAACACACTCAGTGATGTTGAGCTCTGGACACAGTCTAGTTTTAGTATTCTTGTGCAAATTTTTGTGTTCTGGTGCAAAAAGAATTAAATTTTGCATATTTTCTTTCCTCAATGGCTTCTTGACAGCTGCACGTCCTTTCAGGCTCATAGTGTTGAGTTTGAGTTGAGATTGTCTCCTCTCTCTCTCTCAAGGATGAAAGCTTTATGTACTGTTTATTTGGTTATTTGCATGGTTGGTAGGAGTTTCATTTTATACTTTTACAAATTTACAAATTTTTGACATCTGGCTTTGGAAACTTCTGTTTTTTGTGTCATATCAATACCTTATTGACTCCTTTAAAAAAGCCTCTTACATCAACTTAGTATAGTTAACGTTTTATATATATATATATATATATATATATATATATATATATATATGTGTGTGGTAATGTGTGTGTGTATATATATATATATATAGATAGATAGATAGATAGATGGATAGTTAGATAGATAGATATAGATATATATAGACAATACAGTACCAGTCAAAAGTTTGGATTAGAAAAGTAGTCAAATGGGGCGATTCACTGTATAGAACTGTGTGCCAACCCTACCTCCGCCCAACACGACTGATGGACTCAAACACATTAAAAAGGCAGTTCCACAAATTACCTTTTGACAAGGCACATCTGTTAATTGAAAGCCATTCCAGGTGACCACTTCATGAAGCCGATTGAGAGAATGCCAAGAATGTGCAAAGCTGTCATCAAAGCAAAAGGTGGCTACTTTGAAGAACCTAAAGTATAAAACATATATATATATATTTTTTTGTTTGCTTCTTTGCATAGTTATGATGTCTTCAGTAATAACCTACAATGTAGAAAATAATAAAAATAAAGAAAAAACATTGAATGAGAAGCTGTGTCTAAACTTTTGACTGGTACTGTATGCATGAATTTATATTGTACTGTAGTTTCTCCACTTTATAAAGGGTTTTAATTTTTGCCAAACAGTAAAAGAAAGCTTTTGCGACTCTAACACCCTTCCACACGCACATGCAGAGCACATGCAAAGTTTCTTTTCCTGTGTTTATCCTCACTCAGCATGCGAGTAAATGGTGATTGGGCTTTCTGTTTACTGGCAGTGCATGGTGGGAAGAATTGCAGCTGTTTTTCAGACTTTGATGAAAGCCTGCAGAAGAGGCACGGCCTAATAAATGCAACTAATTATAGCCAGGAAGTGCTAACGCTCCCAGCATATGCAAGTATCAGAGAGAATAGAGGGAGACAGGGAGGGAGGGAGCAAAAGAGCAGAGAGGGAGAGAGAAAAGCAGAAAAGCCTGATTTGCTCTCCTTTAGTGTGGTGAGAGCCCAAACATGCACCTCCTCACCCTTCACGGCAGAGCGCTAGCTCTGAACTGGTGTAATTCATCTTAGCATTAATTAGGTGTCGGCGGCTAATCGCTCCAGCTATATGAAAAGGCCTTTATGCTGAGGGCCAACATAGCCAGCTGACACCCGCTCCATTTGGTTGGGGTGCTGCCACTGGCTGTCAGTCATATTAAATAGGCCAGGCGCGTCAAATAGCGGAGAGAGAGAGAAGAAGACAGAAAGAGAGAGAGAGTGAGATTGGGATGGAAGGGTTTGGGGGTGTTAGGATGTCCTCAGGTGGTGGGCTCGCCCATATGAAGCTGATATTTGATTGAATGAACAGTGTAAATATAGGAGAAGAGGCTGTTCAGCTTCAAGGTTGCACTGAAAAAATGTACTTGATTCAAATGTGTAGATTATTTCAGTGTGAATAAAGTATATTGATTGAGATTGTTGGCAAATGTAAGTAAACTGAAAGCCAAAATTCAGTGAATTTAATATATTTTTGGTCCTGCGGAAATGATCTGAAACAAGTAAATTCAGTGCACTTGTGTGGGTTGCTTCCTGGACTGTTGAAGAATGTGTCAAAGAAACTGTTTGAACCATCCTGAGAGAAACAATAGTAAAAAAAAAAAAATAAATAAAAAAAGAAGGAAATACGCTGACAAGCAGTAGAGACGGATGAAGAAGGATTTGTCACTCCAATAAGGCCTGAAGGTTTGAGTCATATGGGTTAGAGAAGTGTAAAGGAAAGAAAAAAGGACAAGTGGAGAAAGAGAAGAGTGAAAGAGTGAGAGAGGAGAAAAGGGAGGGCAGTGAGGGAAGAAAGAGTACAGCTCATTGAAATGCAAGGGATATCCAGGCTGCAGCTGCACCCTGTATCAAATCACTGCCCCCGTCTCTCTCTCGCTGTCTCTCTCTCCCTCTCTCTCTCTCTCTCTCTCTCTCTCTCAGTCTCTCTCTCTCTCTCTCTCTCTCTCTCTCTCACGCGTACATGCACACTCTCAGCGTCCCTCTGCCTGTTTCTCATGCACATCCAGCATCATCTCCCATCCCCTTCTTGAACACACTGTACCGCCGTAATCTCTTTCACTCCCCTGCTTTCTCATCTCCCTCTAGGTCATCTGTGCTTTCTGTTCGCTATCTCTTCTTGACAGAAAGGACCCACTCTCCTCTGACACATACAGTATACACAGAAAGATTTGCTCAGCCCCACACTTGTCTCATCCAAGAAGACCGTGTGTATATTCATCTCATCCCCATGCAAATTTCCCCATGCCTCCGGACTCATCGGGCAGTTCTCCGGCTGAGCAGCCAGACAGCGCCACAAATCACAGGGCCAAGCCAACTAAGGAGTTAGTCAGAAGGAAAAAAGTGGAAAGGTTCAGACTTGCCAAGGTAGTCTGCAAATTTATAGTCAATATAATAATGTTTCTCTTTACTGAACAGGAGACAGGTGCTTGGACCCCTGAAACAGGAATAGTAAAGGATTGAAGGGAGAGCTTAACTGAGCTTTAACTCTTAGATGTCACATACTGTGGGGGGAAAAAAAATGTAAAGTAAAAGTTACTGGAAGCTTGATTACAATCAGTGTACTGGATATATACAAAATAGTATGATTCTGTAATTTTACTGTAATTTTAAACTTCAATAATAATCAGAATTCCACTACAGTAAATGATAACAATAAAAGGTCGGAATGCCAATTCATTTGCCACTTCACTGGACACAGCTATTGGTAATGCCTGCTCATTAGCAAGAGTGCAATACAGTAAGGTCCACTACCCAGAAAGTCCAGGCAAAGCTTAATGGGCATTATGTCACTTTTCTGATGCATTTAAACTTTACAGAGATTTCAGGGATTCTGGAGTAGTTAAGGTTCTGCAGAAATCTACAGTACATTATACAGTAAAGTGTTAAGAATTCCAAGAATTCATAAAATATTAAAACATACTGTAATTTAAGAAAACAGTATGCTTTTGTAAATTGTAAATTTCTGCAAAATTACGAGTGTTTGTCGT